GTTACTAGACTAGCTCAAGCCACCTCTTTTAAGCTTCCCAGAATTGCCACGTTATGGTACGATGATTCTGTCTTTGTTTACAGTGTTCTAAGAAAAATGCATATGCTTCATGACCCCAACAATTCCAAAAGAGCATTTTATCTATTTTAATCTCACTAACTGGTCCAGATACTACATTAGCATTTAATCAATAAGGCTTTGTTGATATATGGTTATTCTGTATTCAGCCAAGTGTGTTTTATCTTTAATTATGATGCGTCATTTCAGAGATGCTTGTATACAGACAATATAGGAAATCATTAATGTATCATATAAATAGGATCTTAATAAAGGCTATGTCAGCTGTATTAAGTGGGTTGGTTAGTTTTATTTTTCTAGCTTCAGATGTGTAATAAAACTTGCTTTAAGCTGGTTGTTGACCTTTTTTTTCGGGTAGGTGTGACTGAGGATAAAATTTCACGAGGTCAAATTTCTTGGTTTATGCAGGTATTCTCTTACTCTTTGAGTTAATTTTAATAATATTTCTTAACTATATATCTTTTTGAGATTGGTATCATAACCCCATTTTGTAGCTGAGAAAAATGAGGCTTAAAAACAGTGCTGGATGTTATGGGGAAAGTGTGGTGATTCCTCAACATTAAAAATAATTGACATATGATCCAGTAATTCTGCTGGGCATATATTTAAAAGAATTCAAAGAAGTGACTTGAACAAATATTTCTACAACCATGTTTATAGCAGCATTATTCACAATAGGCAAAGGTGGAAACAGTCTATTAATGTATAAATATGTAAACAAAATGTGGCATATACATATAATGGAATATTACTCAGCCTTAATAAGGAAGGAATTCTGACACATGCTATAACATGGATGAATTTATAGGACATGATGTTAGGTGAAATAATCTAATGACAGAAGACTAAATACTGCATGATTCCATGTATGTAAGGTAACTAGAGTAATGAAACTCATACAGACAGAAAATAGAAAGGTGGTTGTCAGGGGCTGGATATTTACACAGGCTGTACCTGTTTAAGGGTACAGAGCTTCAGTTTTGCAAAGAATAAAAAAACCCTGGAGCTGTGTGGGGTGATAGTTGTACAACAGTATGAATGTGCATAATGGCATAGAACTGTACACTTAAAAATGGTTAAAATGGTAAATGTTGTGTTACATGCATTTTATAATTAAATTTACCATTAGTGGGCCTCCCCTGGTGGTGCAGGCAGTTCAGCGCAGCACTGTGAAGCTGTCCGCAGCCTCTGCAGCACCGGTTTGATCCCAGCCAGCGAGGGTCCCACATGGCGCGGCAGACCTCTCCTATAGCGCCCGCTGCTCACCTCAGCAGTGCATTTCGTCAGTCTGCCTGTTCTGTTCCCTGCTCTGTCTCTGGTGAATCCTCTCACCCTCCCACACGTCAGGCCTGTACCCTGTTCTTGTATAAATAAATAAATAAATAAATAAATAAATAAATAAATAAATAAAATCTTTTTTAAAAAAATTACCATTAGTCCTGGGTTATTAGACTGATCAAATCCTTGGGCAACCTAAAATAGGTTTTGAAAAAAAATCTGATATGTCAATAAAACTAGGAAAGATTTGATCTTCAATGGACTTGTTATATGTGTTTTAAGATGTAGATTTGTAAAAAATCGAATCTTCTGGTAATAAGGGAAGGGACATTAAACTTTTTAGACTCTTGGGGCCTCTCAACTGGGTTGCCGGATTTAGCAAATAAATACAGGATGTCATGCAGTATGTGGGACAGACCTATACTAAAACACGTTTGTCTTTTATCTGAAATTCATAATTAAATGAGTGTTTTTTATATGACCACTTTGCTCTAGAGGTCTGAATGCATTCTTGCTGAGAGGTCAAGAAACCAGCATGAGGTCCTGTAACGAGAGTCTGACCTGGAGTACAGGCTTTTTAACTATGACAGGGGGACATCCAAACCCAAGTCTCGCTTCTGTGCTCTGTGAAAGGCCTAAGCAAAAGGAAAATGTTCCTTTGAGTGGGACCTTTTAAGAGAGGCCTTGTTAACAGTTATAACCATGAGAGACCCAAACTCTGCTTAGGAAGTGTAGGAAAGAGAAAGGCAAAAGAAGCGGAAGTGGGAAGCAGGGTAAAAAGTCCATGACCTCTCTACAATCTGCTTTTTGTCCTGGCTTGGATCACTCACTAATTCAATCTGGGGGGGACCCAAGTCTAGAATGTCCAAGCTGTCAACTCCCACTGTAGATGGTTTCCATAGAAACATGAACTGAAAGGCCACCTCCTGCACAAAGAGATCTTGTGCATTTTCACTGCCTACAAGGCAAATGCACCTTTTCTAATCCAGCTGCCCAAGTGAGCTGCTTTTACACAGCAGGAGTCTGCATTCCTTAGATTGCAAGGTGCTGCAAACAATCTGCTCTTCCCAATGGGATTTTACTTTTCTTTAATACCTCCATGCAGACATTTAACTGGGAAGGAATTATACATTTCAGAGATCGCAGTCATGAGGTGCAGATCATGAAAGGTTAAAAAAATGAGCAAGACACACAGGTAGCTTCTTTGTCAAATTAAATTCTGTGATAGACATAGAAATTGAATGTATCACCTTTTCTGTTGGAAAAATGTGTTATTGCCTAGAGCAGTAGAGACCTTTCTTCAAGTAAGCATTTGAAAAAGCAAATCATTTTTCTGAAACCTATACAGAATAGGAATGAGAATCATTCTGATACCAGCCATGGCCACAGAGAAGATTTAAATGAGACTTCAGAAATAAGGGTTTAAAACTGCTCTCAATTAATAGATTATATATTTTTGGCAATTACATTACCTTATCCTTCTTTGGAACTTATACATATTCTCCCAGAAAAAGAAGCTGTCTGGGAAACTCTCATTCCGGGGTGAAAATAAAATGAACAAAGCAACAGCTAGCGAGTTATGATGCCTTATATTGAGGCGATATTTGTTTACAACACTGCATGATTTGGAGGTATAGGATCACCACTCCTGAGATAATTGTATTGTCACACCCTACCCACCAAGCTGCCTCCACTACGGTCTGCTGGGCCGACTCTTTTCTTCCCTCCCCGTCTCTAGTAGCCTCAATTCTACAGTCAGATTTCTAGGCCTTGTTATTGGTTTAGTTTTATCTGACCTTCTTTTTTATTTCTTTATTCCACATATAAAAGAAACCATAGTAGATTTGCAACAGGGTGGTCCCCAGGAAAGGGGGAGGTTCCCTGCCCCACCCAAGGGAGGGTGGAGCTGAGCAGGAAGAGGAGAAGCTGCAGAAGAGACTGAGGAAGGAAGCAGGATGGAGCAAGGAGACCTGGAGGAGGCGCATGGAGCCTAGAGACACGTGAAGAAACTGCGCTTGTCTTTTGGTCGTGGACTATGTGACACAGATGTGGGTGAGACCCGTGGGGAGGTGACAATGGCAGCTTTTATCTTGATGTTGATTTTGCTCTTTTCCTTCGGGGCTTGTCCAGTTGTTTGTGACCCTTTTCTGTGGGTCCCCACTGGAAGATGCTTTAGACTTGTAGCAGGCTTGGGGGCCTTGTTCTGGGCCAATCCCATTTGGATGGACTTTTACCCATGAGGGGACGGGTAACTCTGGATGCTTCATTTAGAAACTAGACTCTTTGCCTTACCTGTATTGTTTCCTAGTTTTATTAAAGTTCCTTCCCATTAAAGTCTCCTATGTTTTGTGTTGATGCGGCGGATGGCAGAACCCATGTAGAATAGGCAGGTTTGCGGGGTTTGGGCTGCCCCTCTCCCTGTCCTATAACAGATTTAGCTTTTGGTTGATTTTGGTAGCTTAGCCCCTCCAGTTCCATCCATGTTGTAGTGAAGAGTTCATTTTATTTTATAGCTGAAGAATATTCTATTGTGTATATATACCACATCTTTCTAACTCACTTATATGGCATTAGGCACTTAGGCTATTTCTATAACTTGGCTGTATAAATAATGCTGCAATGAACATAGGAGTGCACATACTCCTTAGAATTTTTTTTTTTGCATTTTTCTCTAGACACCCAAAAGTGGAATTGCTGGATCATATGGTAGATCTATTTTTAATATTTTGAGACATCCCCATACTATTTTCCATAGGGGCTGTACCAGTCTAAATTCCCACAGTTGTATATGGGTTCCTTTTTCTCCACACCCTCCCCAACACTTGTTATTTCTGGTCTTTTTGACTCTCACTGTGTGAGAAGCATCTTGTTGTGGTTTTGATTTGCATTTCCCAGATGGTAAGTAATGATGAACATTTTTTCATTAGTTTGTTGAACATACATATGTTTTTTTTCAAGAAGTGTCTATTTAGCTCTGCCTATTTTTTTTTTTTTTGGACTGGGTTATTTATTTTCTATTGAGTTATATGAGGTTTTTTTTGGTAGATATTAGATATGAACCCCTTGTCAGATGTGTGGTGTGCAAGTATTTTCTCCCATTCACTAGGATGTGTTTTTGTTTTAGTGATAGTTTCTTTCACTTTGCAGGAGTTTTTTAGTTTGATGTAGTCACAGTAATTTATATTCACTTTTGTTTCTCCTCCTCTTGAAGATGAATCCAGAAAGGTATCACTGAAGTCTTGTGTTTTTCCAATGTTTTCTCATTTATATTTTATTGTTTTCAGGTCTTATATCCAAGGCTTTAGCCCATTTTGAGTTAATTTTTATGTATGGTGTGAGATAGTGGTATAGTTTCATTCTTTTGCATATGGCTATCCAGTTCCCAACACCACTTACTGAAGGGGTTTTCTTTTCTCTGTTGTATACTCTTGGCCTTTCATCATAGATTAACTGTCCATATAGGTGTGGGTTTACTTCTGCACACAATACTTTTTCCAGCATTGACCACCTATAGTGTCACCAAACAAGTATCAACAATTCACGAAGACTAAAGTCATACCAAGCATCCTCTCTGATCAAATTAGAAATCAACCACAAAAAGAAAGCAAGAAAGCCCTCTAATATACGGAAACTGGAAAACATACTACTGAATCACTCTTGGTTAATGGATTCAATTTATATTTTAATCTATTTAATGGAGGTATTTGTTGTACACATGGTTTTAGTTGAACGTAAGCGCAATGTTTCTACCTGGAAACAACCTGAGTTGGAAGTGAAATCTGAACTGAAGAGTTTTTAGTTCACAAAAACAACTCTCAAAATATAAACAATGATCCCCAATTGAGGAATTTTCCTGAAGTTCAGGACTCAGTCCCAGGACAGGAATGAGGGAAAACTCCTTGTAGGTCAAAAGCTCTGCTGAAGTCATAAGGTTGCACATGTGGGCCCTTAATCAGAGTCAGCTTTCTCAAACACCCCCGGAAGGAAGTCTGGCTGCTCAGGCAGTTTTGCTTTACATCAGCTGTTTGAGACAAAAAAAAAGATAATTCTTGCTTAATTTTTTTAAAAGCAACATGGGTACCACAATAGGAACAAAAATAATCTCAAGTGCTTTCTATATCAAAATTAGAAGAATATTTTTTCACATAAATGGTTTCAGTGAATACCAGCATTCATAGAATATTTTTAACATATAATAATTTTAAAGTACCCAGTTGTACTTAAAAAGTCTTTAAAAAGATATTTACTTTATTCTCATTTGTAACAATTCTTGGAACACCTGAAATGCATAACGTGAATCCAGAATTAATGTGAGAGTATAAGATACACTTGTTTTCTAAAATGATTTAGCTGTCCTAAAATGATTTCCTACTCATCCCTAAGATTAGTCGCCTCAGTAAAGTCATGCAGTTTACTGTACCTCACATCTCTTGTTCTCGGAGTCTTAATCAATTTACATATGAAGTTTATTTTTAATTTTCCAAGAAATCCTAGATCTTGAAACAGCTTCTCTAAAATGGCAAAAGATTTGTCGCCCAAACCATGTATTTTTCAGAATGTTCTAAATCCATCTGATCGAAGACTTGCCTCAGTGACAGTTCCCCTGGAAGTACGCGGGCAAGCATGTATACATACCAGGGTAGCCGCCGACATAGATGGGGTTGTTGGTGTCCACTGAGGTGGACTGGGTGTGTGGACTTTCAGCATGAACTGCATTTCCATCCACAATGAGCACCAAGCGGTGTTTGCTTTTGTTAGCCTGAAGTGTGTGCCACTTCCCATTGCAGAGAGTACTGGTAGTTTTGGGCTCATATGTAGCTGTTATCCTACCGGCACCATTATTAACATGAAACAAGAGCTAAAAAACAGACATATACAAATATTTGGGTGAATTTTTCCACATTTAAGGAATTTAGTCTTTCTATATATATAATGCTCTTAGAGAAGAAAAAAAAAACATCATTTTGCCAAAAAAAAGGGATAACTATAAAAAAAAAAAAAGATTTTGAAAAATTGCCTCTTAAAGGATTCAGATGCTATTCTATTCCAGAAATTTCAGAAAGGACAAATGGTCACTGCCATGGGAACAAGACTGAGCCATCAACATAGGATTGCATCCTCAAAACACTGCCTCCATTTCAGGATAACAGGCAATGGCAGATGCTCTACCACAGAAAATGGTAATACTGAAAATCTAAGTCTTGCAAAAGATGGAAGAGAAGAATCCTAAGTATATTGTTGCAAGATTCATATGCTGTATGTGAACTTACTCAGTATTATTCCAAGGTCAACTCTGCCAGATTAAAGATGTGTATTATAAACCCTTGGGCAGCTACTAAAAATATTTTAAAATACTGTAACAATAAGCCAATGATAGAGGTAAATATACATTAGAAATTACATGTTTTGCAACTACTGATAACATTTTTATGTGTCATATAAATATGCAAATAGGCACACAATTTTTCAATTTTTGGGGCCTCCCTGGTGATGCAAGAGGTTACGCACAGCACTGTGAAGCTATCCGCAGTCTCTGCAGCATGAGTTCAATGTCCAGCCGCTAGGGAGCTATCCACATGGTGCAGTAGACCTCTCCTGTCTCACCCTCTGGTCCCCTCAGTAGCGTGTTTCAGTAGATTTGCCTGTTCTGCTCCCCACTCTGTCTCTGGTGAATCCTCTCACCCCCAGCAACTCTGGCCTGTGCCCCAGTTCTTGTATGCATAAATAAATAAATCTTTAGGGGCCTCCCTGGTGGCACAAGGGGTTAAGCTGCAACCTATGAAGCTGTCCTCAGCCTCTGCAGCATGAGTTTGATCCCCCGGCCAGCCAGGGAGCAACCCGCATGGCACAGCAGACCAATCCTGACTCGCCCGCTGCTCCCCTTAGCAATTTATTTTGGTCAATCCACCTGTTCTGTTCCCTACTCTGTCTCTGGTGAATCCTCTCACCCCACACACCTCTGGCCTGTACCCCAGCTCTTGTATGCATAAATAAATAAATCTTTAAAAAATATTTAAAAATAAAAATAAAAATTTTCAATACAGATAAGGAAGTACAGATAAGGAAAAATAATTTGTTCAAAACTACAGAGTAGAAAGGCAGCAATATGCTCTAGATAGTTCTGTTTCAATGTAAAGATGAAGTACCATAGGGAGAAAATGAAGGGCAAAATGTGAGATATGACTTCTGATATCCTCCTGACCCCCATTCTAGAATATCCCAGGGGATCTTGTGATGACTAAGCAGGGAAATACTAGAAATAGTAAGTTTAGGGGAATCTAGAGCACAGAAAATATGAGTATGTTAGTCCTGTAACAACCACCACCCAAGCTGGCCACAGTAGAAATGGTGGCAAAGAGCAGTTAGGTAGAGAGAGGGCCTGAGAGACCATCACTTTGATTGTCCATGTGGCATGGCAGCCATTACTAAGTTTTCATAGGACCCACTGTGGGACATGGGAGATGGCAGCAGATGAAGCAGCAGAGTGCCCCTGACAGCTGGGATGGGACCCTGATCGGTGCGGGTTGTTGGAAAATCTCCAGGAGTAGTCCTGATAGACTCAAATGAGGCTACTCACTGGTCACTCCAACTGGCCAGGCCCCTTCAGTGGCCTAGCGCATAAAAGACAGGCTGTGCTGCTTGAAGACCGGGAGAACAGAGCTGTCAGAAAGCCCACAGAAAAGAAGAGAGTAATGAAGTGCGGCTTCCCTACATCCTGCCTGCACCCAGATGGCCCCTATGGTGATAGAGAATGAGAACTGGGAGAAACCAAGGAGTCATGTATAAAACAAGAGATCAGAGTAGTGTTAATTGTTGAATTTATTTTGTCATGTGAAGGGCTGGAAGTGAAAAAACAAGGACAGAAGAGTTACAGAAAAAAAAAATAAATTTGTCTGTAAAATAATTTAGACTGTGGCACATCCATCCCATGGAATATTCTGCAATAAAGAGAAATGAACTGTTGATAGGCACAGAAAAACTGGATGAACCTCCAGGAAGTGAGGCTGAATGTAAAAAGCCAATTTCAGAATAGATACTGCATCATTTCATTTATATAACATTCATGAAACAATAATTGGGAGAACTGATTAGTGGTGGCGGGGGAGGAGTCAGTAAAGAGATAGCTGGAGGGAGCTGGTGGTTATGGTACAATTAGGTGTCTTGATTGTGGTGGTGGATACACAAAGCTACACTTGATAAAACTGTGGAGAGCCACACACATGTGTGCACACATCTATGTGTAACTAGTCAATCTTATGGATTTGATGATGTACTAGAGGTATGCAAGGTGCCAATGCTGGAGGAGCCTGGGTGTCAGGTGCATGCATCTGGACCTCCTTTTATATTTCATTGAAAGCATCTATGAATCTGTAATTATTTTCGAATAAAAAGGGAACACATATTAGAGAAAAGGGGACATCAGGTCAGAAACTTTCAGATGATTCAGGGAAAAAAATAACCTTCTTATATTGTTGCAGTTTTGCTTTAAATTTAATTTCAAAATTGTAAAGTTATTTTAAAATCTTGTTAGATTATGTTTTTAATATTAACTCATTTCTCTATTTCATTAAACTGGATCAGTAGAAATCTGAATGTAGGTAATTCTACTGCTTCTCAACTGCTTTCTCTGATACTGAGGTGATAAGGGGGGGCCCATCAAGATTAAGCACTCACCTTGCCATTTACAATCTCTAATCCAATGGCATCCACTTTGGCACTGCTGATCCCCAGAAGGACTCCGTTTTCTGAGGAGGTACGAAACTCCAGTGTGATGTTTATGTCTGATCGCACTCTGTAGCCTTCTTTGACTGAAAAACAGAACTCTCTGAGTAAGGGGTGAACTCTGCCAGCCAGGAAGATTCAGGCTCAGAAAGGTTGTGGGGTGGGCCAGTTGGCTGTACATTTTGCTCCATCCCCACCAGCCAGTTACCCCCACCCTCTAAGCCTCTGCTTGCACATATGTAGGATAAAGGGACACTTGTAAAGAGGACATAGGTGATCAGCTGGGCTAAGTCAGATGAGAGTTGAAGCAGGTACATTTTTCATCTACAGCCACAGAGGGTAGAGTCCAGAGGAGTCCATCCACACAACCCTTCATCATATACCCAGAAGAGTCACTTTATTATCACACTATAGACTGGGTAGGGCATCATTTACTGAGTTCGTTAGTGTCTACACTTGGTTTTCTTTAAATTGGGATTTAATTGACTACAGTTTTACTCAAGTGACAGACAGCTGAGAAGCTAAACCATGCCCAGTATTCAATGGACAATGGGAGTTGGTGATGTCACCAGCACTCAGGAGCACAGTGTGACAGATAGAAGTGTGCTAGGTTTTCACCTTCTCCCTTCATGCTCCTCCTTGGAACCCTATGACCAAAGGAGTCAGAGAAATACAATTCCCTGTACAGTTGGCAGAACACGCGCCAGAAGGAGACTGGCTGTGAGTGCAAACAGGTAAATTAAATATAAAATGGGGATGTCAGACTTATTACAAAGGTTAGGCATGAGTCTTGAGGAATTTACATTCTGAGGCATTTGAGAGATTTCTGTTTCTCTACTTGTAATTGATTACTATTTTCACAATCTAAATGGAATTATTATCTTCCATCAAATGTGACTTGCCTGGCTGGCTGGGTTACAAAGTTTATGTTGCTAATTTTAAATTCAAAGCTCATTATTCACTTGGATAGAGGAGATTTACATAAAATTGGGGGAAAATACAGATGAAACCAGCCAAACAGAGTGCCCTCTGTCAGAAGTTGCACCCCTCCTGGTAGGAGGATGCCTTAGCCAGGTCATCTGCATGGCACAAAAGTGAGAAGGCTTTTACATGACAAGTTGAAAAATCAAGAATAAACAGGGTCACTTCACTAAATGTAGTCTCATTGCATCCTTGTCCAGTGGGTCCTGCCCTACCAAGTAATTCCTGGATCCATGTCATCTTAGTGAATAGGTGAATTCCAAAGATATCCTTTGAGGTTGTTGATAATACATACCCAGAGCTGCATAGCCACTTCCTTCAAAGAAAGACCCTTCCTGGGCTGCTGCATAGCACCTGGTGACTGCAAATGCAGACATTGGGCTGTCCTTGTCCAGAGGTTTGCTGTTCATTGTCACCTCTCCAATGCAAGCGGGGATGCTGTGGGTGATCTAAACCAAATGATGTGAAAGTAGATGGTGCTGAGTATAATAACCAGAAGCACAAGGACAAGTTTTTCCTGTACTTCAACAAAACAAATAAAAATATTGTCTTTTGGTTTAAAAAATCAAATTGCCACAACATTTCACATGAATGTCTATTAGAGCCACAATTTGAGTATCTTTGCTAATAATGCAGTTAACAGTGACTTCTATTATTTTAATTAAATATTGCAGGAGTCAAGAATGCTGAATTTAATGATCTCCAAATACAAATTTGTTAAACTTCCCTAAATTGTACTGGGCAAAGTGGCTATGAAGAGAGAAATGTTCACTAACAGGCAGGAGAGGTTGGTGGGGCTTCAGGGGAAGCCCCAGTACAATCTAGGGGTGGGGTTTGAGGGGTTTATATCTTGCTGCCAAGCTCCAGTTTCCAATATGATAAATGAAACAAAAACATGTTCTTCTACAACATAAAACCAGAGTGAAGGGCAAAGGGACCCCCCCACAGAAGACGCTGCTTACGGTTCCAATGTTCCTGGCCCTGTACTCGGAGGGAAGGCCACCTAGGTACAATTTTCCTTCCACATCCAATGTAGTACCATCTCCCACCGTGGTCACCAGGGGGGATTCCTGGCCGTCAACTGTCATGGAGCCCTTTCTTTTAAAGTACTCTGTTTTGACCTAGAGCAAAATAAAAACATCCATAGTTATAAGGAATTTGAGAAAATATTAATCCATTTGTTTGCAGTGTAATGATCTGAGTGAAATCCTAAAGGATGGCTCAGATGGCCACAGCCAGTGTTGAGTAGAGACTGAGCCTGGCAGACGGCCCAAGGCAGGCACAGGTAAAGCAACTAGAACAGAAAGTGCTCCAGAGGCCCAGGTATGAGAAAACAAATTTCACGATCTCAAGTTTGGCCCATTCATGACATGGTGGGCTTGATTTACTTCTTGTCCTGTGCTGTGAGAACATTTTTTGTAGCTTTCATTCATTCCATCATATTTGCTGAGTGCCTTTTAGTTGTCAGATAACTGAGTTAGGCCCTGAGGATAGTCCAGGAATTGGAAAAATTCCCTACCTGTAAAGAGCTTACAGTCTGAGGCAGATATGGTATAGAATGCAAACTGGAAATCAAAGGGAATCATTTCATGATAGTGAAATGCAGTAGGAGAGAGAGAGAGAGAGAGAGAGAGAGAGAGAGGTGTGATCACAGCTTCTTGAGAGCCTACCGTGTGCCACTTGCCATCACTGAGAAGTACCGGGTGGGAGACCTGGGTTCTGCCTTTCCCCAGATCAAACATGAAGTGGAGGCGGCCCCCACGCAGCTGGAGGGTGGCATAATCAACTTGGTTCTGATGAGCCATGTAGTAAATCAGGCCACTGGGGGCAAATGTGCGGATGCTGAGCTCAACCGTGAGCCTGCGGGGAGACAAGAGCCCAGCACTCAGAAAGGAAAAAGAGCTTTCATTTCACTTCTCAAAATAGCCTCAGGAGAGAACATAATAGTTGCTTCAACATTTATATTTGACATCTCCGGAGAAAGTCATTCACTCTTTCATTCATTTATCTGTTCATGGATTCAGAGTATATGGATTTTAATTGCAATGGGAAGTCAAGGGAAGGCGTTAGAAGGGGAGTGGGCACGACTTAATTTCTATCTGAAAAGGCATCTCTGATGTGAAGAACAGATCAGATGTGGTGAAAGTGACAGAAGGTATTAGGCAGGGAACCATCACAGCAGTCCAGAGGCCGTGGGTGGCTTTGACCAGGTGGCACAGGGGGATGTGGAGGAGATGAACTACCGCATGAGATGTTCTGGAGGAAGAAGCAATAGGACTTGCTGATGAGCTGAATTTGGAGAGTGAAAGAAGGAAATAAACACCTGTTAGGTTTTGGGTGGGAGGGTGGTGGGAGATGGGAGTGTCTGTTTTGAAAGAAGCCACTGGAGAGGGACTAGAGCACTGATGACAAGAAAAGCTCTCAAGCCACCGTACCTGGGCCTGACTCCCAGCTCTGCTGTGTGACTCTGGGCAGGTGACCTAGATGTCCCTAGACCTTAGTTTCCCTGTGTACAACATGACAAGAATACCATCCTCATAGAGTAACTATGAGAACTAAGTAAGGGTAGGTGTGCAAAAGACTGAGACAGTCTCTGGCACAAGCGTTTGCTCCTCTCCATCACTCTTGATGAAGGGATGATGATTTTGTCTATTGTTGATGGGATCATGTATGATAAAGGGAGACATGGATGCGACCTGAGTCTTTGAGGGGAGGAGGCTATGGGGGACAATTGAGAGGGGGAACAAGGGCCCTTCCACCTTGGTGGCAAAGGAAGAGGCAGAGGAGTGGAGGCAAATGCAGGGAGTGTTCTTTTGGGGAGGGGGCCCATGAAGGAGGCAAGAGGAAAGGCTGTAGGGATGTAGAGAGTTGTGATAAGAGGAGAAGCTATGAAAAATAAAACCATGTAGATATTTGAGAAATTTATAGCTGGAGGGTCCATCTGAGAGTTGTGGTCATGACTTTAAAAGTCAAACCAGGAGGAAAGAGAAATGCATTTCTATAGCCTTAACCAACGGGCTGACTTCTGGCACTGGGCCAAGTGTGGTTTTCACCTGGGTTGACTGTGAATAAGATGAGAGGGTTAAGGGAACTTGGAAAGAAAAACCTGCAATAATGACATTGAACCTATCTGGGCAGGGGCTAAATTGTGTTGTGGAAGCTAGAGAAGGGGGTTATGATAGTGAGAAAGCAGAACAATTTAGGGATCTTGATGCAGTTGAAGAACTGCTTGTGGGGGGAGGTAACAGAGTAGAAATGAGGAGGGAGAGGTGAGTAATAGGATGCTTCAAGTCAAGATTCAGGAGGTGGGGTGGACACATCACCAAGGGGAGAGGATTTCTGAGGAGGAAGGAGGGAAAGATCTGTGCCAGATAGGAGTCTGGGAACTTGCAAGGCCAGGTATCAGGTGGCTGCAGAGTTCCTGGGCATCATGGCAGAAATTGTAAGAAAAAAGCCATGGAGTCAAGGTCTGAAGAGGGAGTGACGGGGCAGTGATCACATGCCAGGGACCACAGGTGCAGCCTGAAACATCATTGAAACGGAGAATAAAAGGAGACTAGGAGAGAAAAGCGGAGTCCAAAGGAACCTCACCAGCCCCAGGCCCTGAGATCTGGGGGATGTGAGTGGCTTCACTAAAGGGTCCTTGGGAGTGAGATGAAACATGCAGACCGGTGTGGGTAAAGCCCCAAGATTTTGGGGAAGAGGAGAGAATGGAAAAGTTTGGGTAGACAATTTTATTAGATTAGTGAATGCTCACAGAGAAAAGGGGTTGAAAGTTCAGATGATGATAGATCCAGGGGATATGGGATTCCCAGAATGATGGGCAGTTGCTGCCTCTTGGTACTTTCCCAGCATCCACAGAGAGAGGCGGCAACCAGCATCAAGAAAGGAGTATCAAGGACAAACTGCCAGAATCCCACTTTTGTATGTTCTAAGAGTCCATTGTACACAAAGGCAGCATTCCTATCTCTTCATTCTCATGGCTGCCATTTTTGTTGCGGGTCAAGTATTCCATAATAAAATACAACAGGCTTCTAGAAAAGACCACATTGCTGAAAAATACCTCCCCCATTTCATCTAGTAGCAAGATGCCTCCACAGACTTTATAAACAACACCTACCTCCTTCTGACAGCTGACTGGTTAAAAGGCAACACGAAATGGCTATGTTGTGCGAGGCCAAACTGGTGAGCGCCGGGGACATACTCTGGAGCTCCTTCCAAGGCACACTGTTCCTGTGAGGGATGCACAGGGGCCCTTAGCCACACACAGCCAGGGTCCCCACTAAGCACACAAGTTCTTCCATGAAGAAGGCATGTAGCGCAATGGTATCAGTGGTGGCGGTGGCCGGGGAGGATTCCCCAGTGGAGGAGGTGGTGGTGGTGGACAGCAGCGAGCTGGGGACTAGAAATGTCCTAACCCTACCTGTGAGAATATGAACTTTTCTTGGAGGAATGAACGCAAACAGTGGAAGGCCCTTAAACCAGATGGCCCAGGAGGGTGACCAGGAGGCTCTCACGTGGGGGGTAACTATGGACATGATAATCATGGTGGCAGAGGCGGCTATTATCGGGGCGGCTACTGAGGCCGTGGCAGGGACCGGGGGACTTCCAAGGGGGCCAGGGTGGTGGGGACAGAGGTGGCTTTAGCTCTGGCAAGATGGATTCCAGGGGTGAGCACAGACAGGATCGCAGGGAGAGGCCATATTAGCCTGGCATGTGATGTTCTGGAACAGCTCTTCTTCCTGTACCCAGTGTTACCCTCACTATTTTGTAACCTTCCAACTCCTGACTACCCATGGGTTTTTTATGTTGGAACCTGTAATTGTAACTATACCTCTGGTTCCCATTAAAAACCATCATTTCAGTTAAAAAAACAAAAAAGAAGGTGGCATGTTAGCACAATGGTATCAGAATACCAACAACAACAGATACATGTTTGCATTGATTTAATCTTCTTTAAGTAATTTACTTCTCTCTCTTCATAAAGGAAGTCAGAACTTCTATTTTTCACCTTAATCCCACTTGAGTTAAATTCCCAGGAATTTTCTCAGGTCTAAGGGGATAAGGTCCTGCTATTACTCTCTTCCTTCTCTGTAGCTTGGGGGTGAGGGGGGGAAGGGAAGGGGCCTGAGGGGATTCACAGCTGCAGCACTAGCCTGAAAACTGCAAATGCCTGCAGGGGAAAGGCCTGGCCAGACCTTTCTACTTCTTCATGGAAAGGAGCAGGGGACAAGAGCAGCCAAGAGGAGCCAAGCTGGAGGTGCCCCCAAATCCCAAGGGCAGAGCATGTGAGCCAGAAGTTCCCTCTGCACACTGACTTCAAACCACATGAGGCCTCAGACTCAGCTTTCTAGCCTGGCGCCGGCAGGCAGACGCTGTCCTGACGTCACACATTAGCCCCATGGGGAGGTACTGCTTCCGCAGGACTGCACCACCATCTAACTAATTAGAGGGCTCACTTTCAACCTAGGAACTAAATAAATCAGAAGTGGGGGTGGAAAGAAAATTAAAACTAACAACTGCTATTAAAATCTGGGCAAAATAAGTTTTCCCCGCAAAGGTCAAATCTGTTTTTTAAAGCAATACTGGTGTGCATAGTGGCTTACCCTAAATACTTAGTTTCATGTTTCTGACTAAATCCAAAGTGATAATGAGTTCTCATAGAAACTGTCAAAAATACCCATTGTTGTGTGGCAACCTAATGAGGGTGTCCAATGCTGGGCTCTGTCATCTGCAAGTCTGCTCAGAGAACCACTCCCCACCCTGCCCTGCTTCCCTCTCCCCCACCAGGATGAACTCCGTCACAGCTTTCCCAGGACTCCTTTGAAAAATGGTTTCTGCCACAGAGGGCTGAGAGATTAGAGAGAGAAGATGGAAGAAGCTGGAGTGCTTCCTGCTGCCTCCAGGCCAGGCATCCTCCCTGGCAGGGCTGTCTTCTCTGTGGTTTCAGCTCCCACAGGAACCCTCTGCTCAGCTTCCCTCAGCAGCTTGGCTCGGCCTGGAGGTAGCACCTGCCAAGCACCTTCCACCACCCCACACATACATCATTACTCCTCCTGCTCCTTCAACTTTCCCAACACCTTTGTAATGAAGTTCCCATTTTAATATCCTCTGGGCTGTGCTCTCTTCCTGACTGGGCCTGACTGGTATCACTGAGAAAGCCCCCTTACTGGACGTGGTAAAGGCTGGGGCTCTGGCAGGAGCTCGCTGTCCTCTCCAGGGGAAGCTGGGTTCAGCCTTTCAGAAAGCCGGCAGGTGTCCAGGTCCACTTGTTCATAATCAACTGCACTAGTGAAATCCAAAAGTCTAGACAAAAAAAAACAGTGTTTGCAAAATTAAGATATCATAAGCCAACATGAACCGATGTCATTTGATTACTGAACACTTAAAAACCATTAATATATCACTCTTAGATAAACCACACTGAGCATCTTTCACAGTGACTAGAAGTCCATCTTATGTATTTTCTTTCTTGAGTCTTCTGCCTGAAGGTAACCCTTCTGGTCCACTGCACCCCATGACTCCCTGGCCATTCCTGAGCTTCCCTCTAGAGTTGGCTCAAATGCTGTCATCATCCCCTCCTGCAACCTGGGCCTCCGGACAGGGCTGTCTCTGGCTCTCACAGCACTCCTCAGTTGTCTCAATTAAACACTGGTCTCTTTCTTACAGGTTTCCTTTTCCCGGAAGCTGTGACCTACACTTGTCATAAATCCCTTTATTCTGCAGCCCTTGCAACGTGTTCCTGTCTACACGTACACTTTTGGCATTTGAAGGATGAACACAGAACATGAACACAGAAACGCTTCTACCCTACCAACCTCCCAGCTTCACTGCTTTCAGGAACATGAAGAAGCCTAATTAATCAAAAAATTAATAAAGACAATTGGGTGAATATATGTAGCAATTATACAAATAACTAGCACAAAACTCTGACACAATTGTGTTTAAATCCAATGCAACATTCTATTCTTGCAAGTATCAAGGATTCCTAAAAGGTTGTCTCATAGAAAAGGAAACTGTGACCATGAAAGAGCCAAGTCCTTGCTCAAGGTCACAAGGCCAGTTGGCAGCCCCCACGGAGGGAGCTGCAGTCACCTGATACTTGGCACACAGTTAGTTTCCCCGTGCAGAGTCTGGTGCCACAGGTCAGGGCAAGGTTTCTGTTCTCAGAAAGCTGACCCTGCCAGAGGCAGGGCTTGGGTGAAGAGAAATGAAATGCCCCTGGGCACATGTTAATTCTTTTCCTCATCCTGAATGCCACATAGAACACAGACGTCCAGTTCTTAATGAGACAGTAATTATTTCAGGACGAAACATTAATAATCTAAGCTGCAAGTAGCCCAGTTATAAAGGCTTCTTTTTATAGCTATAAGTTCATGATAGCAAGAGACATGCATCACAAAATCTCTATACACTCTTAAATGCATGCCAGAAGTGCATTTGACCTCTGCTGTTGATTGACAATCTTGTGGATCTAATGTTCCATATTAAAAAAAAAAAAAAAAAAGAAAAGTGGGCCTCCCCTAGTGGCACAGCATTTGAGCGCTGGGCTGCGAAGCTGCCCCAGCCTCTGCAGCGCTGGTTCGATCCCCGGCCACTGGTGAGGGTCCCACATGGCACGTAGCCCTCTCCTGCCACACCCACTGCTCCCCTCAGCAGTGTATTTCATCAGTCTGCCTGCTCTGCTCCCTGCTCTGGCTCACGTGAATTCTCTCACCCTCCTGCACTTCTGACTGTACCCAGTGCTTATATAACTAACTAACTAACTAACTAACTAACTAACTAACTAACTAAATAAATAAATAAATAAATAAATAAAATCTTAAAAAAAAAATTGAGGACCAGGTCTCTCTATCATTCTAATCCAATAAAATCTGTTTGGAAGACTTTATGACAAAACATTGGGGTTCATTTGTTATTCAAGATCATGTAGAATTTTACACAATTTCAAATAGCAAAATTAGATTGCTGGTTTATGTCAAGACTCAGCATCTAAGGATGAGGAAATGCAAAATCAACCCGGGGCACAGGTCCACTTACTCCATGTTGAAGATCAGGTTTCTGATGCAGCCATGGAATGAGCTTCTTATCTTGAGCAGGGATGTCCCCTCACCCTCTGGAACCCCCCCTATGTACAGGCTGGATATGTTTATTGTTCTGTTTTCCGCTGATGGACCCAACTTCATCTCTACAGGATGTGTCTCATCCAACTGGACAGTGATAGTTCTATAGGTCAAAGGAGAAAATAAAAGCTTTGAAATAAAATGAAAAATAATTATATATTTTAATACATCAGTCTACAAGTTCTTACCTAATAATAAAAGTTCCCTGAAGACACATTTTAACATGACATTGTGAATAAAAAGGTTACTCTTGCAAATTAAAACTTACAATTGAGCACTCTCTAAAATTAAATAGAATGCTATTAAATATTATTGAGTTCAATTACTTTTGGGAGGCATTTTTCTTTTATTTCTTTACCTGTGATGAAATGTGCAGTGTAATTTTAAAATAATAGGTCTATTACTGTTGGTCTATTAGTATTTACTATTTAGCATTGATGTAAGAGCATTTACTGATGCTATCACATTGTTTGCCAGATAAATAATAGAATGTAAAGACAACTCATACTGAATCCCTATAAAAGGCAAGATTAGGAGTATTCAATTAAAAAATCTTACAATGAAGGAGATGAAACTTAGTAATCAGTTTTCTAAGGCAGTATTTTAGCAAAATTCTTTTTTTTTCAAAGATTTATCTATGCACACAAGAACTGGGGTACAGGCCAGAGATGCAGGTGGTTGAGAGGATCCACCAGATACAGAGTGGGAAACAGAATAGGCAGACCGACTGAAATACACTGCTGAGGGGAGCAGCAGGCGAGACAGGAGAGGTCTGTTGCACCATGTGTGTTTCTCTCTGGCCAGCCAGGGATCGAACTCGTGCTGCAGAGGCTGTAGATTGCCCCATAGTGCAGTGCTGAACCCCTTGCGCCACCAGGGAGGCCCAATTATAGCAAAATTCTAAAATAATCTTGGAACTATAAAACCCCCAAATATTAGAGATGTCATACTAGTCATCACCATAGTTTCACTGTAAAGAGCACCAGGACAAGGATCCCTCATCACATCAGTACCTCCCATTCCTTATCAGGGAGACAGAATGTTCTTGACCATCGCCATATGTGCCCAGGGGCGCGCGCAGGATCACTCTTCTCAGGCTCGTTCCGTCCCCTGGATTAACATGCACTTCAATGTGGCCTTCAATCAGCATGATGGTAAAGAAGGGCTGGGAGGGTTGCACAGAGAATCCCCACAGGAAAAAAAAAATTAGTATATGATGTTAAAAATGACCATCTGACAAAGATGAAACATTCATTCACCCTGCAGCATGGTTGCGATAATTTCATAGCAATGTCTGTAAAATGTGGGGCACAGTAGAGAACAGTACTAAATAAATTGCAGGTGCATGACCTCTACATTGTTAAGACAACAGCTTTCCAAAGTCTCTTCAAATGTCATGATATATGCAAGTTTAAATAAAGGAAAGGGTAAGGATCACCTATAGTATTGTAATGGATTATAAATATGGGAAAACAACTCTTCTCACTTCTCCCACTGCTGGTATACTGTGCTTGTCACAAGTCACATTTTTCTGCCTGCTCCTTTCAACCCTATGACATTTAAAGAAAATCCTGACACATGGGGCAGTATACCAAAGAACTCTATATGAACTTAAGGAATTGCTGTTTTCACCTTGGAATAAAGAGGAACATACTGAAGAAAACTCAAGTATGTGCTCTCCCAGTGAGTTTTAAAGCAGAAGACAGCAAGCATCTTTCTTTATAGTAGCGAGACAAGATGGATCATGTAACATGAAGACATCACAGAATATGGGAAAGCCAGCAATAACTTTTACTTATTAACAAATGCACACCCATAAACAACAGGGCACGCAACTACAATAAATGTTTACAATAAATGACTCAGTCAAGTCATTTTCCAGCCAGTGTTTCCTGAGTCCTGGCCCAATGGCTTTAACCTACTCACCACGTGGGGGTGTCGGTGGCCCTGCTTCTCCCTGTGCTTGTCCAGGGCAGCCAGGATGATGCCACTGCTGTTGTTGGTGGCAAAGGTCACTAATAATTCCGATTCTGATGACAAGGACTTGGGTGGCAATTCAACATAGCCACCTTTCAGGAAGCTGACACTTCTGATAGGCTGGTCACAAAGGGGAAGACAAAGCACGTTAGGACTCCTCATGCTGAGTCATCCATGGTTAGGAACTTACTGCAATGTTAGTTCAATGCTTCCCACCTCCAGTATGCAGCCTTTTCTCACTCCATAGGAATTCCTGAGTAAATCAAAGGTTGATCTCGATATTTCCAGGTTTTTGATACAACCCACATAGTTTTTGCTGGTGATACCTTTCCTGTAGGGAAGGACATAAGAACAACAAAATTTGGGCTTTATAACTCTATTTTTGAAAGAAGGAATTAAAATGGGCCTATAGATAAGGATAATTTGTTTCTGTGTGGGAAGGATGGTGATGGTGAGGCCTTCAGGTCAAATGAATGTTCTTAGGATTAAAGAAAGAAATGGGATTTAATAGTTTGATTATTTAGATAACTACTGAGATAAAAATGTGCTTAATATTTAACATTAAAATATGTTTAAAAACTATTATAGTCATTATAATTTAAATGTGTTTATGAAAACACAGACCAAGAAAAACTGGGCATTACCACAATGAAATTATAACACGTAGACTTCAACCCAGTGTCTATGCTAAATAGAGTGTTTGCTTCCAGCAACCCAGTCCCCATGCTAAATAGAGTGTTTGCTTCCAGGGGGCAAACAGGCAATAGTATCTCCTAGGATCACATATCTGGTGAATCGGTGGCTGTTGCTCATACTTTTCATGAAGTTTCTCCTTGAAGGAGTTAATTGCATTTGGTGACATCTGGCAATATCCAAAATCCTATTTCTTAGACTTCAAGCCAGTACCATATTTTTCTTAATAGGAGTTGGGGTGAGATTGTGAAATGTCAGGCTCTCGTTTCCATAATTTGGAGACTGCTGTACCTCTCCACGTTATGTACTTCAGAATCAGCTAGTCCCAGAACTTTGTAGTAACATGGTTTCCCATTAGAGTCATGTCTTATTTACTTCTCTGTGTTAATCAACAAGTTGTAGACTATTAAGTAACTACATGATTTAGGTGAAATTTCAACCTTTCTGAATCTCAGATTTTCCCATTGTGAATGAGGAGGCTGACATTGATGATACCCAAATCTTTTCTAGCAAGAAAGTGTGTTTTGGGATATTTTCCTAGAGCAGAATATCTACAGTGTGGTGTTTAGGCAACTCATAGATGAACTACAACACAGTTGTGGTTACAGGAACACCTGAAGTCACCATGTCAAGGAATAATATCTGGAACCTGTGGTTAGAAAACTGGCTTCTGGTCCTGGCTTTGTCTTGGAAGAGGTGTAAGACCTATGGCAATTAATCAGTTTCCCTTTAGTTTAAGTGTAATTCATTTCCAAGGCCAATGGCGAACAGTGATTATAAACAATTTCCTTGGAATTTACAGAAATTTCTGGCAAAGAAAAGGTGATGGGGAAGTAGGGAAGTAGATTCTGGGCTACTCAACCCATAAAAACTAGTGGTTGCATTGCTGCCCCACATATTAAGATTTGGTATAAGAATTCAACTTATCTTGTTTTGACTGCTGGTCTTTCACATCTTTAATGATGTGAAAGAAATTTAGAGCTTAGTTTGTGCAGTCCAACATTACAAAACTAAGGACAATGAATTGCAGAAAGTTTATTTAAATTATTAAAGTTACAAAGCTAAACATGAATCAGTGTTATAAAAGGCTTTCTCTCTTCTGCTGTCTTTTATCCATCTTCCTGATGTTGGTCTTTCAACTTCCACATACATTATTCATTCTAATCACAAAAAAGGGAAATCCATCTAAATCTACAAGAAAGCATGATTTTTCCTCTGATACACTAAAAAATAGAGAGGATAAAGATGTATAATGGAAGTGGGGAAGGTGTCCAAATATTGCATGTAACAAATTTCTGATGTTCTAAAGGCAGATAGAAGATCATTAATTATACTCCAGAGGATTTCTTTACTTCTTAATATGGCATATAGTGGTTTGAATCAAAGTAATTGTTATGAGTTAAACTGTATCCTCCCAAAAGGTGTGGAAGCGCTAAACCCCAATGCCTTAAATGTTACCTTATTTGGAAATAAGGTTATTGCAGATGTGATGAAGTTAAGACAAAATCATCAGGATAGGGCCTAATCCAATATGACTGGTGTCCTTATAAAAATACACAGAGAGAAACACACAAAGTTGGACACACAAAAAGAATGCCATCTACAAGTTGAGGAATGCCTTAAGGCATCAGAAGCTTAGAGAAGGGCAAGCGATAGGTTCTATTTCAGAGCTCTCAGAAAGAAGCAGTCTGCTGATACATTGATTTCAAACGTGTATTCCCCATAACTAAAAGACAATACATTCTGTTGTTTAAACCACTCAGTTTGGGCTACCTGGTTTTGAGAACCCTAAGAAACTGCTATAGGGACATGCAAATCCTGCAGTGTGATATTATACCTTACAACTCTTGACCTAGGTAATCCACCCACATAAATTGGATCCTTATCAAGACGATTGAGGTCAGAAGATGCACCCGGAGTTTCTCCTTGCTTGGTTTCTTTATAACTGGTGTTATATGCATCAATAACTGCTAGGAGTCCTAAAAACAGATGGGGAAAATAGATCAGAAAATTAAAATTACATTCTAAGTTAAAAAAGCTCACATACAAAGACATGTTCTTTTATATTCTGCAAATATGATCAGCTAAGGTCTTGAACATTAAAGGACAAATGAAAATCCTCTGCACAAACCTCAATAAATCCATAATACACATCAGTACATAATGATAGTATGTATGTAGAAGAAAACAGACTGGATCTGATTCTTGATTCCAGATAGGTATTTCATGTTAAATGACTCACTTGGAAACCACAGACAAACAGAATTAAAATTTTCCTCCAGAGAAATGTGAATCCTGGTGTTTATTATTCCAAGTAAAACAATGGCTTTTGATTATAACATAATTCAAGAATACCCAGGAAGCTAAAGGAGAATGACTATGGATTTTGGAAAGATTTCTAATCCTACAAGAGTGGCCAACATCTCATCCATAAGACCTGCACTTACCTTGCTTTCGGTTTCGCTGGAAGGCAATTTTGTACCAGGTTCCATTATTATATCGTCTGTCTGTAATAAGAGCAAGAGGCCCTGAGCCCAGGTCAACAGTGACTTTAACTCTGCCATGGACAAGCTCAATGGATAAAAAGTCCTTCTGCAAAGAAGAGAAAAACTAGTTATCCATGGCTAAATCATTTTCACAAGATTGCCCTTCTTTTCAAATCAGGGGTGGCAGAATCCTTTAAAAGTCAAATTTAGAAAACTGCATCTGGCCCAACAGCCAATAGTCTATGCCAGGAAAGTACAAGTATGCACAAAGACTTTCTGGAATATCACAGAGATATAAATGATATATATACATTGATATCACATATAATTCAAAAGAAGTGGAGTCTGTAACTTTTTCCATTGAAATTGACAAAAAGCCAGAAGATCTAGAGAAGTCACCATCCCATGAAGAACAAAATGGGAATGTGAAATTCCTGAATATGAAATTCTAATAAGGTCACAGTGGTCACTGTGAACATGGGACATTATTTAAGCTCACATTTTAATAATGTTTAATTGGTATCTATGAAGACTGGAAGGCTACTTTCTACTTAGGATTCTTCCAATTTCCATAGGTTCTTCAATTCATTTGTAACAATAAATAATTTGAAATGGTAAACATGGCACACAGGCGCAAGTATATGCTAGTAAGAGTTATCAAACACAGATGTCCTCACGGCAATCTAACTGTATACACACAGTGGTCCCAGTGCCAGAAAGACTCTCACCGTGCCATTTGAAGCGAGATAGAGAAGGAGTCCATTAGGTGAAAAGGTACTAAAAAGCATAATTATCTGAGTCACGGTAGCCCGGAGTGTCTTCTCCATTACAGAATACCCACTCCCATCAAAATGGAAGGAAGAGTCTTCATTCTGGAGACTGAAAAGCAGAGCAGGTAAGGGCAATCCACTCTCAGGAATATAGATAACAGACAACAAATGATGTATTTAAGTGATTCACCCTCACAAAAATGATGGTAAAGCTGTAATTTCCATATTTTGATAACAAATACACATCATTATATCTTGAAAGATGCTTGTCATTGCATTATGCAAGACAAATGCTCAGTTGCTCTATAAGCAAAAGAAATTAATGCAGGCAGCAAAAGAAATTTCTTGTAAGGATGGATAACTGCTATTAACTACATTTTTGCTTTTGTTTGCTTTTTCTAATTTCTTTAATTTAATAGTCCTTAATTCCAGTGCTTTCAGAATAATTTGTATATGAGTGTCTATTGCACTCTGCTGGTTTTAACTAATAAATCACATAAGCTGGAATTACAATTGAAAGCAAATGGGTACTAATGTATCTGAAGGATTATTTTACCAAAAAATTCATTGATAAAAAATAAATCTCAGTTAGCAGAATGAGCTTACAACAGAGTTATATGGATAGACCACACACTTCTCAGATACTTGTATTTCCCTGTCTTTTCCCCTGTGCCTCAAATAGCTGATTTGACTCTCTGTTTAATTATTCAGTGAGTTAATCTGGAACATATCATTATTAGGTTTAAAAGACTTCTCTGGAATACTGGAATATCACAGAGCTTGAGAGAGATGAAACTTTGGAGTTGTTTTTTGGGCTTTTTTTTTTTTTTTTTTTTGGTATTTGAATTTGAAATTTTCCCAGTTGAAGCTGTTATAACCAAATTTAGTGTCACATGTCCAAGCAGCACAGAATAACCAAATAGCGAAACTCTTTCCATCATGATTTGTGAAATCAGGGTTCATACAGCCTCATGCAGCTCTGCTTTCCCTAAACATTTCTGTCTTGCAAACTCTTTTAAGATGTATGACTTAAAAAAATGAACTCTGTAAAATCTCTTAAATTGTGGCTTAATTTTAATTCATTAATTCTTAAGCCAGTGGCTTCCTGAAAGCGTGTTCTTTACTCTGCCTCATGGCTGACCACAGTTCAATGTGACTCAAGACTCTAGAACCAGACTGCAAATTACTAGCTGTGTGAACTCGGAAAGTTATCTAACTTCTCTATGCTTCACTCTCCTCATCTATTAAAAAAAAAAAAAAAAGAATAATAAGCATAACAAGCTCTCTAAGAGAAGTACACTGGGTTTAACACAATAAAGTCCCGTCTGGCACGTAGCAAATGTTCTCTCCATTTTAGCTCAATTATTCTGCTGTGTTCAAAGGCCTTTGATAGGTCCCCATCTTGGCTACTGATAATTAAGCTTCAAAGATTAAGTACTTTCCCCATGGACACCCCAAGAAAATGTAGAAGTCAGGTTTCAAAACTGCAGAAATCTGTCTCACCCCTCTGTGCATTTTCTCCCTTCCCTACAGCTTGTGAGTTCTCTGCTCTCATGAATATGAGGGCATGGCTTCTGGCATCACACCTTCAGCAGGGCCTGCCCAAGGGAGGAGCCAGAGAGAGGGATGGATTCAAGTGAAAGGATGATGAAAGCAACTGTCCTGAGGGTGTGCGTGTCCCCGGGATCAACCACACATTTTGGGGCTTGTCCCCATGTGGGTCCAGCTTCTGTTCTATCACCTTGAGGCCAAGTGCATTCCCAGTCAGCCAAGGCCCTGTTCCCCAGATGGACCTTGTGACGAGAGCTAGGTCCCTGTAGGACAGGAGGCCAGGATGAATAGCACTGGGTCGACATTTTGTGAATAGCTCTGTTGTAGCCCCGAGCGGTTTTGGAGGAGCCTGGCCATCACGGGGCCTAGGGTGAACCCCGCCTCCCCAGCTCGCAGCCCTGTGAGCCTGGAAAGATCACTAAATCCAAGTTCTGTTCACGATGCAGAGAGAATGTGCACTATCCAGGAACACAGTGTGCAGCTGCTATGCAAGAGGCTGACCACCTGGGCCCAGACCTAGGATACTGTGCACTTACTGGTGCCCCTCTGTGTCACAGGGGGGCACTTTTAAAAATGTTTCTATGTAGCTAATTCCCCCCTAGATCATGAGGCATCAGAGGAAATAAACTTAGCTGACTAATGATGACATTGTGGGGACTTAGCAGAGAGCCCTGAACACAGATGACCCAAAGTTCAGCCGCCTCGCCAGTACCCTAAATTAACACAAGGATTGGTTTAATGCTAATTAAAGAGACCCGGGAGAATGCAAAGATTATGCCTGTTAATTAGGTGTTCTATTGAGAATTGTTATAATCAGTGATTTATTTTGCAATATCCTCTTAAGAAATTAAGAGATTGTTCCGAACGTACAAATGTTATAAACATTTGCTGATAATGTAAAGCAGTATAAATATATTCAAAGAAGGATAAGAAAACAAAATTTCAATTAGTTTAGTTGGTAATATAAACTAAACATGCAAATTCCAAATTCTGGAATGGTCAAATGATCAAATGAGTTTGGGAAAATCTGCAACTCTGGCATCCCCCTGAAGGGACATTTTAGAGGCTCTATTGTCCTCATAGGAAAGAAACATGGTTTATTTTATTTATTTTTAAATTATTTATCTGTGGATACACCCTCGATTGCCATGTTTTCTTAAGAGAAAGGAATATTTATTATTATTTTACCAAAATAGCACTCTTAAAAAAAACCCCACATTTGGGCCTCCCTGGTGGCGCAGGGGTTGAGCGCTAGGCTGCGAAGCTGCCTGCAGCCTCTGCAGTGCTGGTTCGATTCCTGGCCACCGGGCGAGGGTCCCACATGGCACACAGCCACAGACCTCTCCTATCTCGCCTTCTGCTCCCCTCAGCAGTGTTCTTTGGTCGTTCTGCCTGCTCTGCTCCCCGCTCTGGCTCTGGTGAATTCTCTCACCCTCCCACGCTTCTAACTGTACCCAGTGCTTGTATAAATAAATAAATAAATAAATCTTAAAAAAACAAACAAACAAAAAAAACCCTACATTTTTGGAAATGTTGGTCATATGAACCAAATGATTTGTTTAATACCCAGAAAAGCACATTTAATTGTGCTAAGGAGCCAGTTTGGTTCCAATAAGCTGGGAAGCCAGTCATCTCCCAAGATGGCCAGTTCTTGGTTAACATGGAACGGGCAGTGCCAACTCTCACCTTCACCTTCCAGTCCAAGGTCCATGGAGGGTGGATGGGAATCTGGTGGAAGGGCAGTTCTCAAAAGAGAACAAAACTGGTAACCACTGGAATGAAAATCTCAATGTCCTCATTCCAACACAAGAGGAAAGGAGCCAACAATTATTAAATTCACTTATTGCTGAAGAGTAACCCTAAAAATGACTGATGAGAACTGGGTATATTGTAAAATAGGGGGACATTTTCTCTACTAGCACTGCTCAATTTCTGTTAAGACTTATCTTTCTACAAATGAGATTAATGATCTGGGGTCAGTGTAGGGGAAAGATTCTTGAGCATTTTTCATGATAAAATTACTAAATGCTGAGAGCACTTCTTTCCTGACTTGAAAAACAACTCAAGAAAAAAGTGACAGAGGAGAGGGCCTGGCTCCTCTGCTCATGCTCCCCTAGGCTTAGGGCGGATGTCACTATCTCCCAAAGTAACATAATTTTTTAAAAAAGATTTTATTTATTTATGCACGCAAGAATTGGGGTACAGGCCAGAGTTTGTGGGGGAGGTGAGAGGATTCACCAGAGACAGAGTGGGGAACAGAACAGGCAGATTGACTGAAATAAACTGCTGAGGGGGACCAGCGGGTGAGACAGGAGAGGTCTGCTGTGCCATGTGGGTCACCTCCCTGGCCGGCTGGGGATTGAACTCATGCTGTAATGGCTGCAGGTAGCTTCATAGTGCTGCGTCTTAACCCCTTGTGCCACCAGGAAGGCCCCAAATAAACATAATTTTTTTACCACATTGGCCAATTACCAAATCTTGGAATTTCAGGAGTTTATTGTCAAGAAAACGATCTTGAGATATTTACATGGAAAGCAATGTGCAAGCCTAGCAGGAAGGTCAGAGATAAATACTGGTTTCAAATTTATAAAGTATTTTCATATATATCATGTTAGGTGTTCATCACCATAGTCTGGGACAAGTATAATTATCATTTTCCTTTTCTGGGAGAAGGAACCAAAACCTCCCTGAGGTGAAGTGGCTTAGTATTCAAAGTAAGCAAGACAGTCTTGGTAGGAGAGTTAGGCCAGGAGTCTCTGAAGAAAAAGACTCAAAAGCCAGTATTCTTTTAAGTCTTAAGGTTCCACAAACTGGGCTTCTGCTCATACTTTTTAGGCAAGCCAAGGGAAGGGGAAAGCAGTATATGAAAGGCTTATACTATAGAATACCAAATGATGAGCCATGTATGATGAGAAAGTAGAGCTGACAATGACAAAATGAACACAAATCCCTAAGTGTAATGCAAGTTGCTTCTAACTGATCTTGTCACATCTCACTGTTGATTACAGAGATTTATCTGGACAGAGATGCCCAGTAGATGGGAGAAATTACATCAGATGTTACATTTTTCCAATGGCAAAGGTAATCTATTGTTTTAATTACTAAAGTGCTAAGGAACAAGTTGTAAACACTTACAGGATTGCAGTTATTTTAGTAGAAAATAGTAGAGGGGGGTGTTGAGTCCTGTGAAATTAAGTTATGTAATGCTTTCTATTATGTGAGTACACGCAAAAAGATGTTTGTAGGTAGTTGTTTTCCATTTCCAAATGCATTTTATTTCTAGAAGTATGGAACTTAGGGAGAGGAAAGTACTATTTATAAAAAGGGAGTATACAAACAATCAAAAAAAATCTCATCCTTGGAGAGAAAGTAAAAACATACAGTGAAATATCCAAGACTTAGTTGTGGTATTTTGAGACAGAAGGTAGTTTGAAAACACATATGATACATCTCAATTTTATGATCCACAATCTAAGCATACTATACAAGACCCAGCAAAAAGAACACTTCTTTTTAAGGGTTAAAAGTGCTACCCATAGGTCTAATAGTAGATGATCTATATCACATCTTTTGCCCTAAAGGGACCAACATCATATCTACCTCTGATGTGCCGTAAGTTTTTTATGCAGTTCCCAGGTGTTCATAGACTAACATAGCATGTGTTAAATTGTGGGGCGCATTACCTTCCAAAGCAGCCGTGGCACTTCCCCTCTCTTTCAAGGTAATTCCACAGGCCAATGGACTGTCCATTCAGGAAGGCTTCCCCCATGCAGCCTTTGAAATGAGTAACTTTTACAGCAGGGGACTTCTAATGTAAAGCAAAGAAATGTTATTACATAATATTTGGTGAAAAGGAATAACATTTTAAATACATGAAACTTCTTCCTTGGAGTTAAACCAAACAGATCCAAATTTTGAGAAAATAAAATCCAGAAAAATGGCCTGTAATCACTGTATTTCCTTCCACTTTGAAGCGGGATCCTAGAATGAGTGACAACCTGGCGGGATCTTGAAAGTTATCCCCATTCCCAGGGTTGCTGGAGAGAAGCCCTTATAAAGAAGGGAGATGATGGTCAGTGGTGAGGGCCTGGCTGAGACTGAGAAGTTTCTCTTATTTCAGAGCACCGACCCAAGTTCAGATGACTTAACTGTAGTTTGTGAGAAGACAACTGATATAATAAAATAAATGGGTTCTTTGCTGAACACTAGTTAGTATTAGTCAACCACTCTGGCTAGAAAAGAGATCAAGGAACTTAAGGGAAATTAATGTAAAATACTGAATTTCCTATTTCATTATTAGAAAAGAAAAATAAATAGTAAAATGAACTATCATTTCTTTCCTATTTGAACAATTAAGCATGATTTTTGACTCTACAAAACCAACCCAACTCTGCAGATAAACTGTTATTAAGCAAAATAATAATATCAGAAAAATCGTCATTTGCACAGGACAAAAGTCAACAATTTAAACATACAAATTTTATATACAGGTTAAAAAAAGCCAATCAAGTAAGCATTCAGATGAATGTTCACAACGTTACCTTGATCTGTCCTCCAAGCCCTCCAACAAACATGAGCGTGGAGTTGTTTATATCCAGAACATTAGCTGTTCCTGGGGATTTACTTGTTTTTGAAGGTGGCTTTTGCGATGCGCTCATTTCCTTTACACTCAATGACCCAATGTTCCCAAACCTAAGGGTCACAAATAATTGCAAAAAATAACTTCTTGTCAGTTCACAAACATACACATCTGTTTCATACACAGCTTCCATCTGCCCTTAACCCCAGTTTATTTTTCTAAGACAAATTTCATCATGTTACCTGCTCGCTTAAAATAGTTAAGGATAACGAGTTCAACTATTTGGAGCAGTCCATTGCCATCAATAGTACTGTTTTTTTTTTTCTTATAAATAACAAGAAAAAATGAAAATTCCAAACAATAACATTATAGAAAATTACAAAGAAAGGCATAGCTTATGATGCTAAAATGTAATCACCTCTGAGGAGAGGTTTTTTTCCCTTTGTGTCTGAAATTTAAGAAAACTTACATCCTTGCCTCTGTCCTCTTCTACTTACATTGCACTGCCAACCATGTGGGATTTCTATCCAACCACATTTTATTCCTCTTTACCCAGGGGAAAACATTTTATTAGTTTGGCTTATTTCTTCTGTAATAAGGGAAAAAAAAAAAAACCCTTCATTTTTGTAGCTAATCAAAACTACATATTTTTTTTCACTATAACCTGACTTCCCAGCTGTTTCAGAGACTATTACAAGATATTGCAAATGTAATTATGTAGAAGAAACAGTTTTTTTTTTTTTTTTTAAAAAAAGATGCTTGCAGGAACTTTCTCTACCTGGTTACATAAATACTGTGCCATTTGTTGTCATCAATGGGAAAGTCTGGAAATTCCAAGCGTGCTGACCCAGAGCCCACATCCCAGAGGACGGCCACGTTCCCGCGCCGCATCTCCACTGCCAGGAAGTCAGTCTAGAGCACAGGGCATGAATTGGGGTAAGTGTCCATCCTAGATTATTTGCATGGCTACCAAGACACTTTTAACACGAGCTCTTAAAGCATTTTCTCTGTTCTTCAAAAGAAAACTCTTATATAAAACAAACAAAAATGATCTTCCTTTGTCTTCAAATGCTCCCCTTTCTGGAGCTGGAACATGGCTCAGAATATCGGGGACAGTGGCCACGACTGGACAGTGCCCACAGTCCTTGCCCAGAAGGGCCCTCTGCAATCCTTCCCCTAAAGCTCCCAGGAAAACTTGCAGGAAGCATGAGGGACCGCAGCTTAGGGCACATACTCATCTCTGTGTGTGTTAGGCACTAAGCAAATGTGAAATATGCAGTGATGGGAGCGATGACTTGCATCTATTTTGCATCTTATCTTCTAAGAAGACAACTGAAATAGTATTTGTGCATGTTATTATTTTCTGCTCGAATTTGCTTAAAGGCACTGCATGGCCAAAGATTTCAATGGTCTTCCACAGGGGACTCACCCTCTGGGAATCATCAGAGTCCTGTTGCCAGAGAGAAGCATACTAATTCCAATATGCTCCTCCACCCCTCCATTCCAGGTAACCTCCACTGAGATTGATTTATGGGCTCAGAGCCAAACTCAATGGCTTTTCAGATCACAAAAGGCATTAAGAAAAGTCTGCTGCTGCAGCTTGAGATTCAGATGCCGCCGGGCAGCTGCTCTCATAAATGTTATAATCCTTTTCACGGACATTAATTTTGTAGTGTATTTTTAATCTAACGTTACCAGTACCAGTTTAGCAAAAAGGTTAGATCCCTTAGAAGAATCAATGATTTTTCACCAAGATCCTATTTTTTTTTTTTAATTAAAAAACTGTCAGTATACACACTGATGGGAGAAGAGTTGTTTCCTGCAGATTGATACTCACACTGGTACTGCTTCCCAGGTAGAAGAGAAGGTTATCAGGTTCGCTTGTTTTAACATTTAGTGTTAAGGTGTTATAGTTAGTAGAAGAAATCTGTGGCTGGTAGGCCCGGATGCAATCTCTGTCTGCAGACACAGCAACTTTAATCTGCGAAAGGGAAGGAGATGTCCCGTCATTCAGTGACACACATTGGCTGCCTGCCGGGAAGTCAGTGTTCCATATGGACCTTCACTGCTGGGCAGCTTTCCTCTCTTGATAACATATGTTTCATAAAGTAGGTTTCATTTGGTAAAAGACTTGAATTTGGGGTATTAAAAGAGTGTTTTATGTAGGAAACTATCCCTTTCAAGTGAGATGTAATTCCATAACGACAAGAAGCTTATCCAATCACCAAAATCTTCATGCTTGAGAGGATATTTGATAATCGTTTGTCCAATATATGGCCAGGTTATTTACTTCTTCCTTTTAGCAAACATTTATAGAGCAGCTTGTGCTCTATAAATACATGTTAATAATACATATTTCTTTAGTAAGCAATTATTTGCATACGTACCTTATATGAACCTTAAAGATGATAAGTTGATATTAACCAGAGCACTTGGAATCATCCATTGAGCCTACAGTTACTTAGTGACTGTAACTAAAACAGATGGAAATCAGAGCTCCATCCTTTTTCCAACCGTGAGGTCAGTGTGGGAGGAAGGGATGAAAAGTGCCCAAAACTCCTTTCCCTAAGCTTGAAAGCTGCAGGCAGAGAGACATCAGACCAGAGGTCACAACTAGCCTCTCCGGGCCCTCAGGAGCATAGCAATTGCAGGTTCTTTTGAAAATTTTATTTCCTGAAACTCCTTTCCTTTGGCACAGCGGCCATGTCTTGTGTTACAGAGGCTTAAAGCATTTTCTCAAAGTTGAGCTTCTCCCAGGGTCAAATGTTTTGTGTTTTGGGGTGGGATTCTGTGTTTAGGGGCGCAGGGTTATGATATACAGAAACAGAGAGGATGAGGCTCACACAGCCTGAACCTGCTGAAGAGCACTGGGAAAGCCAAAGCAAAGTTGTAAAATGAAGACAACAGCAAGGTGAGGTGAACACTTAAAATTAATGTGCTCTATGCCATCTAGTAGTCATACATCTAGGTTACAATTATAAAGCTTCATAAAGGCACGGCAATCTCTTTGCCAACAACATTTCAAAATATGTTAAATAAAAGCAGAAATCAAAGAGAAAGTGAGACTAATTAAGTGTCGTTAAGTGCACGTAAGACAGGCTGTGAGGAATCTGGAACTAGTGAGAGCTGGAGCAAAAGTCTAGGGGAGATGTGTCATTTTCTAAGAAGCTCTCGGGCCCTGTAGCTGCCCAGTGCTTCAGTGTGGCAGTGTGGGGTGTTTCTGAGGGCAGGGGCTTCAACTCACAGAAGCTGCTTGTTTTCGGGCCTGGTTGATCAGCAGTTTGATTTCTGATAGATTTCTGCTCAGATTCTCTTCTAATATCTTCAAAGGCTTCAACCGATCAAATAACAGGTTGGCTTGGGTTTCCGCGTCCTTAACTTTTCTTCCTGCCAGCAGAGCTAAGAAATAGGAGGAGACAAGAGGTGCAGGAAAGTGTGGGGTGGTGGAAGGAAACAAGAGAAATTGTTATGAATGCTATGGATAAAGTAGAATATATTAATAATCAAATCCTTGAAATTGTGGTAAATATATGAAAAATACATCAGCACATGAATTACCCAAGGCCCTTCTCTTTCCTTACAAACATAAATCCAGATGTTAGTGCATTTTCCATTTTTAGGAGTGCTGTTTGTGAACAAGTCACCATTATGCACTTGAAAAACTCAAAACTGTGCGATGTTGACATTCGTAATGGGAAGGGAACCAATGGACTTACTAGTTGCTGAGGAGTCCTGCAGAAGTTGATTTGTTTCTTGTAAGGTGCTGTTGACCTCAGACAGGTCAGGGGATATGTTCAAGAGCTTCCGAGTCAACTCCTCAGTGGTGTTCAGGGTGTTCAGGGCACTCTCATTTGCAGATGTGGCCAGTGCTTTGATTTTGGCTCCTTTGTCTCTGATACCTGAAGTAAATTCATGCGCAGTCAAGCATTCTGGTGATTATGCACAGGCAAAAAGATAAAACCATAATAACTGTAATTGTGCATAGAAACATGTTGTAAAGCTTCTTCTTGGTGCTGAATACAGAGTGAGTTTTTTTTTTCTTTTTTTTAAATGCCAATATTAGGTCTGCTTATATGCTCCAGTGCTCCCTCTCAAAAATGAATGAAATAACTCTGGTGACAATCCCACACTGAAATATAATTTCAATACATAGTAAGATCATAAAAGCAATCACTAACTGTTACATGCTAACGCTGGCCATATATGTTAACAAGCTAAATATTTTATTTGGCTCCTTTTCTATCACTCCCTCTCAGATTCATTAAGCACATTCTTCAAATCATTCCATGTGCATACAGAAAAAAAATGGGGAATTCAACCTGTATTTGAGATAGAAGTGTTTTAGGCCAGAGGAAGTGGCATTCACATACAACATGAACTGGATGCTAGAAATAACAGCAAAATAAAGACCCCAAAGTCAATAAGGATAAAATGGAATTCAGTTATTCTAGAAAATGTGGGTGATGATCCTTTTAAAGGTGCTAGTATTCATTAAAAATGTGTAATCACCAGTGGAACAAAACTTTGCACCAGAAAAAGCTGTATAAAGGATATACAGTTGCTCATTTCACTCTTGTGGCAACTTTTTGGCAAGTTTGAAATTACATACAAATAAAACATTATTTTTAAGTATTCCATTAACGTATACCATGTGTCCTTGGAAAAAAAAGAAAAAGAAAAATAAACTTCCAAATTAGAAAATGCTCCATTCATTTAAGGTGAGAAGTCATTCCAAAGCACCCCAAGTTCAGTTCCTCAGAGTAATTTTCATGATGTCAAGGTGAACCAGCAGGCAGAAGAACTTTGGGGATGAGTTTAGGCATCTTGAGAGTCTTATTTAAAAAATGCTTATTAAGAAAAAAAGAAGGTTGAGAGAATATAAATAATACACTATAGGATAATTCATTTATATTGTACTTTTTAAAAGTTTACCATTTTAATAAATATTGCATTTCCAATTCATCAATATTAAACCATGAACCTATTTAGAATGCTTTGTGGCCTCAAGAAGGAAGAGTATCAAACTAGAGTTCTTTAATTTTTTATGTTTGTAATGAATCTACAGGAGCATTCTAGTTATCATTAAAGCAGGAGCATTCTAGTTTCCCACCAGTTTCTTTGAATGACCTTTGCCTCTAAGGAATGTGTCAAGTACATTTAAAATACACACACACACACACACACACACTGAGGTAACATTAGTTGACAATGACAATGGGATTCAAAGGTGTACAATCACAAAAATAATTAATGGTAACATAAAATCTCTAAGGCTTTAGTTTTTTTTTTTTAATAGAGGCATGTTTTTTATTTATTTATTTGTTTGTTTGTTTGTTTTGTTTATACATGCACTGGGCACAGTCAGAAGTGTGGGAGGGCGAGAGAATTCACCAGAGCCAGAGCAGGGAGCAGAGCAGGCAGAAGGACCGAAGTACACTGCTGAGGGGAGCAGCGGGCGGCAGGAGAGGTCTGCGCGCCATGTGGGACCCTCCTCTGGTGGCGGGGGAGCAGCCGGGGATCGAACCGTCGCTGCAGAGGCTGCGGGCAGCTTCGCAACCCAGCACTCAACCGCTGCACCACCGGGGAGGCCTACTAAGGCTTTAGTTTTCAAGAGTAAAATTCAAATATTTCAGTGCAGGTGTTCTGAAGTGACTTAAAAAATAGTGATCTTCACTTCCAAATCATATTCCTCTGCAAGTAAAAGCTATCAGTTTTGGTCTCATTTCTGTGAGGGCTCTTAATTAGACTTGGGTGGGACGTTGCCCTGCTCGTGTATAATGATTTTGCAATGAGAAGACATTAATTGAATCACGAACTCCCTTTCCACTTACCTTCAGGAATTGCTCCAAGTATTAAGAGTGACTCATTGGTTTGCCTAGTAATTTGATGAGCATTCTCTTGAAATCTGTTCACTGTATTTTTCAATTCACTCAGTTCCAATGCAATACCTATTTAGAGGGGAAAGGACATCTGTTTTAGGCTAGGCTGCTAAAAACTCACCCAGGCGTAGCTTTCTTCATCATTCCTTTCCACCTACAGAATCTACAGCTCTCTACAGAGACCTCCTGCCTCAACCCAATATGGAAAGTTCTTCCTTTTCTATCATTGTAGAAATTGTATGTGTTAGCTTGCTTCATCACTTTGTTTACTTTTCTTGTTATTCTTCTTGATAATATTTTTTTTCTTAAAATGCAAGTCCAATTTAATTAGAATTCAAGGGTGAAGAACTAGCTGAGTCAGTTGGTCTTAATCAGACTCATTAACTTCTTGTCCGCACTTAAATCTAGACCACTTTTCTGTGAAACCCCAAATATAGGCTCCTACCCTGGGAATCCTCCTTTGTGTCTCACCTACTTCCCAGGCCAGGGCCCTCCCTATCTATACCCCCTGAGGGCACAAGAGATGTTCAATTTAATTTTTTTCAAGTTTTCTCAAAGCTGTTGGAATAAAGATGTAACTCTTAAAATTTCTATTCATAATAGACAATCGCATTTGGAACACATGGTTAAAAATAATTATTGATAAAATCCTTGATGAACATGATGGTTTTGCCCAAAATTTTAATGGCCTAAAAGTTCAGTATGAAATACCATTACTTGTATAAACTGCAACCACAGCCCATCGACATTGGTGCTGAAGTTTGCATTTAATGCTTCGTGATGGAGTATTATTCACTTCCTATACTGTAAGATGACAACAACATAAATTCTAAATTCTGTCACCCATAGGGAAACAAAAATATATCTAAGCCTTGGTTCAGGAAGCTATGGAAGGATCCAGTACTGGACATGGAAGTAGTCTGAAAGGGTTATGAATTTTGTTTATGGCTCACTACTTACTCCTACAGGAAAAGATATTTCTGATATATTGGAATATATTAAGGTGAAAAGTACACTACGTGTTACAAAACTCTATGCCTTCTCCTATGCAACAGATCCTAGCTGCCACGGCATGTTATGTTTATTGGGCAGCTCTTACACATGCCAGATAATCACTTACTGAAACTTCTAGGAAAGACTAAACTACATAGGCATTAAAAAAACAAAAACAAAAACAAAAAAACAACTAACTAATAAGTCCATTGTAATTTAGTTCAATAATCATCTAATGAGAACCTACTATAAATCCAACAATTAGCTTTGTGAAAAAAGCAAAAGAAGTATCAAACATAACACTGGTCTTCAAGAAGTGATGAACCAACAAGAGATAAATAGAGAGAAACACATGAAATTGAAGATAGCCCAGCACGTACTATGAATAAAGGTTAAAGCTCAGGAGCTAAAGCAACGGGTTTAGTTATTAAGGAAGATCTTAATCTATGGAAGATTAGAGGTGACTGCACATTAAAATATGAGAGAGCACTAGAATAAAATCATAAGTTACATGATTTTACAAGATAGGAAATTGGAATATTATTGTGACAAAGAAGTGTTCAGGTTCAAATTGCTCCAGGAAAGGAAAGTATTTTGTAGGGTGGTGCTTATCAGCACAGTCCCAGCTAAAAACTGACCTTGATGCTTTCTGCCCAGATTACTGCCTTCTTTTAGAAATTTGGAGCTGTTCCGGAGAGCCACCTTCCCACTGGAAACAAGGGATTCTGAGAGCTGGAAAACAGAACAATTTAAACATGGTGACCAGAACAGAGGATGGGATCCAGCTGAGGCAGAGAAAGCCTCAACCTAGTTCCAAATAAGAAAGTCCCCTAGATAAAAGGTAGGGACAATTTAAATTGTCCTAATGTGTGTTTACTATAAGTTCTAATTTATGGCTAAGGACAATGGACATAGACCATTTTAAAATACATAAAGACAAAAATCATCCACTATATGGAGATTTTCATCACAAAGAAAAGATATCTTAAGTAGATAATCAAGTAGCATTACCATTTTTGTCCTAAGAAATTGGGAGAATTTTCTCATCTCTACATTATTCATTCCTGGTCTTCAAAAAGCAGTATTTATGACCTCAGGGAATTAAAACGTATCACATAATGACAGAAACCTTGAATCAATCCCATTAGAAAAGTATAAGTTTAAGGCACTGGGTCTTTGCTCAAGCACCTAATAGAGCATCTCCCATGATGTTGGACAAAGTAAGGTTCACACTGAAGTCCACAGAGAATTTCTTACCAGGTTCACCTCAGTCACAGTACTGAGAGCATCTTTGGCAAATTTTTCTGATTCTTCAATCAAATTCTGAATGTCGGAATGGATATGGGTGGCACTGGTCGCATTCAGGGACACATGTCTGACATTTCTGAGATCACTATGAAATCAGCGTATTGAAAGTGGTTACAATAACTAAACAGAATTTGTTCACTAGTCTTAAGAGTCTACTATTGTAGCTTTCCCCTGAAAAAAAGTATCAATCAGAAAGCATGATTCACCCTCTAATTCCAAAAATAATCTTTGAGAAGCAGCAGCCATTTCAAGATAGCAGCCATTTCAAGATAACACTCAGAATTGCTAATACCCAAAGAAGAGACTATTTCTTTCCCATCTTTTAAACCAACCATTCATCAGTTTCTACCAGGTGCCATCAACATTCTTTGATCTGTGTACAAGATTTCTGCATACAAGCCACTGCCTGTTCGGTTATAATCTTCCCTCCATTGCACCTTGCTAATTTTCAGAAAGACTTCCCAAGTATATATAACAATGCTGAATCTTAGTCTGCATGTGGTACATACCAATTTGATGAAATTCACTTGATATTTTGAAGGGGGATCAGGATATATTTCAATCATTTGAACTTCATTCTTTTTTTTTTTTTTTAAAGATTTATTTATTTATTTATTTATACAAGCACTGGGTACAGTCAGAAGTGCAGGAGGGTGAAAGAATTCACCAGAGCCAGAGCGGAGAGCAGAGCAGAACAGACAGACTGAGGAAGTACACTGCTGAGGGAAGCAGCAGGCGGCAGGAGAGGTCTGCGCACCATGTGGGACCCTCACCTGGCAGCCAGGGATCTAACCGGCACTGCAGAGGCTGCGGGCAGCATCACAACCCAGCGTTCAACCGCTGCGCCACTGGGGAGGCCCTGAACTTCATTCTTACAAATGGGAAATCATTTATGAACTTGCCAACTGGTAAAGGTGCAATTTTTCTACTACCTATCTTGAAAATGGAATCTGACAATTGACATCTTTGCCAAATAATTCACTCATTTTTCTTACTAAGGTTTTGAGTTAGAGGATTCCCCAAGTAGTCACCAGCGGTTATTACTTGTTACTACTCAACTAACAAAATCTTGTGATTTATAAATAAAAGATAATAATGCCATGTAACTTTCTGTATCTTACCAAGTAGCCTTTATTATCCACCTTAAGTAATAAAGATTTTGTTCTAGGTGTGTATGTAGCCAGAAAATATTTTCTCATTTGGGAAATGATGAAATATGATGAAAAGAGAAAAGCTAACTGAGTAGCTAATTCTATTTCCCAGCACTGGTTCCTATGTCATATAAGCAGTAGTGCTCAATGCAGCACATGATTAATGTAATATTCTATCATGTCATTTTTAATTGCTTTCACTGTGTAATCTATTTTTTTTAAAGATTTATTTATTTATACAAGAACTGGGGTACAGGTCAGATGTGCGGGGGGTGAGTGGATTCACCAGAGACAGAGCAGGGAACAGAACAGACAGACTGATGAAATAAACTGCTGAGAGGAGCAGTGGGTGAGACAGCAGAGGTCTGCCACGCCATGTGGATGTCTCTGCAGTTGGTGGGGATCAAAATGGCACTGCAGAGGCTGCAGACAGCTCCACAGCGCTGTGCTCAACTACCTGTGCCACCAGGGAGGCCCTGTGTAATCTAATTTTTATGGCACCATTCCTCAAAATGGAAAGGTATTTATTTTTTCCACCTCCGTAAAGCACACCCAACACACACACCAAATTCCCATGGTCTTCAACCTTTTTCTACCCATACTTGGTAATTAAATTAATAACTTTAACAATTTATTAATTAATAAATTTACCAAATATCTTACAATATCTTATAAATTACTGACAGGACCTAAAGTACTAGTTTCCTCATTTATTAAACATTTGATCACATGGGATCTTTAAAACAATTCCAAAGCCCAGGCCACATCTCAGACCAATGAAGTCACAATGTTTGGGGAGTGGGGAGAAGACAAGGAGACAAAGGCATTAGTATTTCAGAAGTTCTCTGGGTTGCTCCAATGAGAAGATGAGTTTGGGAATCACTGGCCTAATTATGTACTTCTTGTTTAAAGCTTCTTTTAACAACCTGAGGACATACATAACAAGTATCCAAAAATATAAGTTAAATAATTATAATGGTATACTTTCAAACAATAGAAACTAAAGTGGGGGTGATACTTTTCAGGAGTCAGAAAAAGAATCCCAACACATCTTTAGGTACATGCATAGACTATGCGCATAGTCCCCATCCATGCACAAATCATAAGCTCCAAAGGGCAAGATATGTAAAGAAATTAATTTTCTCTTTCTGTCTAAAGAAATCTAATAACCCCATAGCCCTTAATAGATACTTAGTAAGACCTTGGTAATTTGATATCAGAGCACATGTTTGTTTTAAATTCTATCTAGTTCAATTTACAATTTTTCATCATGCATGTGAATGGTCAGTTATGTTATCAGGCATGGCAGGAAATCCTCCTCGCTATGTTAATAAAATGAAATAAAAATTTTCACTTTCAGCCCAACAGGGTTAACAAAACAGCCATTCTTAATCTCGCTAATCAATGAGCATCACCTTGGGAAAATCAGCAAGGTGTGCTCTCACCTGTCCAGAGTGCCTGCTAGTCTCTGGAGCTCAGCTGCATGGTCCTCTGCTCTGTAGACAAGGTCAAGTGCTTTCCTCTTGGCCATCTGCATAACCAGGTCATCTACATGTTGTCTGAGTTTGGCAGTCCACAACAGTAGCTCATCGCGGTGATTCTCTAACTGCTACATAAAGAAATGAAAATTGTGAATACATTTGCATCATTTAACAAAAGTGTGCATATGTATGAGTTGTGTGAAGATTGTTTGGAAACTGAGTTGTACTTACTGCTAGAGCATTTTGTGCAGCGTCTGCACCTGCAGTGGCAGCATCTAGCCACACTCTCCCTTTGGAGACAAGAGTCGAAGTCAAGTTTTGTTCTTCTTGAACATGCAGCTTTTTATCCTGTTGCAAAAATCACCTTTAATTAAGGACACTTCACAAAAGCAAGTCAACCTCTCAAATGTCAGTGCCTCATGCTATGTGTCCACATTAGTACTCAGGACTCATTTTTAATAACGCTACGAATGGGATGATTTCCAGAAGAGGATGGGGTGACCAGTGCTTACTGAGAGGAGGGAGTGCTTAAGACTCACACTGAATTCTCCCAGGTTGGCATTGCCAATGAGCAGCAGGCGGGAGCTCTCCTGTGTCTTTGCCTCTGCTTCTCTCAGGAGGTCTTTTGCTGCTTGCAGTTCATTGTGGTGTTTTGAAAGCAGCCTGCTTGCTGCTTCTTTTAATACCACCAACTCTTCCTGTGGCTCCTGGTAATTCTTCTGAATTTGTGACAATAAATCTTCAGCATCACTGAAAAACAGAGTTGGCTCATGTAGTAAGAAAGTAGACAACAAAGCTCAAGCACTGAAATGAGAGTGGGGGAGTTCTTACATACCCCTACCTATGTTTCTTCTTGTAATCATAAGAGGCACAGTATAACCTCTCAAAAGAGCAAATAATTTTTCTAAGACAGCTACAATGTGGCAGAGTTAAGCTTTATCCTTAACACATGATCTTGATTCACAAACTTCCTAACATATCTCAGGAATGGAAAAAAAGGAAATCCTCTTAGTGAATCTGGATTCAGGAAATTTGGACCACAGTCTGTGAATTATGGTAACTACAATATTTTTAATATAATAAGATAAAAACAAATGAAAGAAGGAGACTATTCAGTCATTTTTTATGAAGTCACCAATGTATTTATATGATGAAAGGGTCTTTCACAACTACTTAGAGTTAGCTTGGCAGCTTTGTCTGCTCTGTGAAACTTTCAAATCCAAGTTGCCAAGAAGCTGTATAATTTGTATCATTGATAAAAAACAAGCTTTTCAAAATCAAAACAGTTTTTTCTTATTCTTTGATAAGTATGCTATTATGCTATCAAGTTCCTTATTTAAATCAATGCTTGAGTTAAAGATTCATAGACTAATATCATCATCCTACTACAAATCTTTGCAGTAGTTGACTGTATCCCAATAACTTTTTGCTTTAATTTGCCTGGAGAGCTTTGAAAAAATTCATGGAAAATGCTGTGTAAATCACCTTTGCTTTCACAGTCATCATTTCCCTAAAGCTTACAGACACGAAATATATTCTCTAAAGATACATATTTTATTTTATTTTTTTTTTTTAAGAGGCATGTCTTTTTATTTATGTATTTATTTATTTGTTTGTTTGTTTGTTTGTTTATACATGCATTGGGTACAGTCAGAAGCGCGGGAGGGTGAGAGAATTCACCAGAGCCAGAGCGGGGAGCAGAGCAGGCAGAAGAATCGAAGTACACTGCTAAGGGGAGCAGCGGGCGACAGGAGAGGTCTGCGCGCCATGTGGGACCCTCCTCTGGTGGCCGGGGAGCAGCCGGGGATCGAACCGGCGCTGCAGAGGCCGCGGGCAGCTTCGCAACCCAGCGCTCAACCGCTGCGCCACCAGGGAGGCCCTAAAGATACATATTTTAACGGTGACATCAATAGAACAACATTGGGGATTGCATGAAAATGTTTGTGATTTTTAATAATAGTAAGAGTTTGCATTATGATACAGGTAACAAGAACTAAAACTATATGGAAACATACAAAAAAATCTAATATATTTCTAATGTCTGAACATGAATCTATCACTTATTGAGTAATATCTGTAAAAAATTCTAAAGAGGGTCAAATTTTCATCTATACAATCATCTGATGAAATGATAATCCCCAATACCTTGAGAAAGATTACAAAAAAAACAAACAAACAAAAAAAAAAAACAAACCCTCAGTCCTCTTCATTAGCTTCTTGCTATGTAATATTCAGTTGGGACTGTTTTCTGAACTGTATTTCCCCACAGCTCTAGGGCCCCAAAATTGTCAAGCAAGTAGCATGAAAAGGGTTCTGTGGTGAAGTAAGTTGAGCTGACTCTCCAGGCCCCTCTTGGAGAATCTTGAAGCATCTCAGCAACTAAAAACTTTGAGAAGACTTGCAGTGAAGAACTTGTCTCTCCTTAGCAGACACTGTACTTCCTAAACTTATCACATCATAGGATACATTTCTTTAAGGAAATACCTTTTTTTTTTTAACTTTTTTTAGATTGAGACACTATCGGTTCACAACACTGTTTCAGGTGTCCAGTCTGCCTCAGTACCTGTGTACATTACACCACACCCACCTCCAAATGTTGACTCACCATATACATCAACCAATTGGCCCCTACCACCTGTTCTATCAGTTCCCTCAACCCCTTCTTCCCTTCTGGGAAACACTGATCTGTGTCAGAATCTAAGGGTTTGTTTCTGTTTCTTTATCAACCACAAATGAATGAAATCATACATGATTTGTCTTTCTTCTCACTTTTTTCACTTAGCATAATTGATGTAAATGTGTCTTAGAGTTTACAGCTTAGGTAGTAGCTACTGACTCTACTTTCCTCCATGAGGGTTTACTGCTTTACATTTCATTTTTATGACAGTAGTTCTCCAACAGTGTGAGGTTCTCTTGTTCATGCTAAGTGGAACCAAAATCACAGAGGAAACGAAACCTACGGCATTGATAGCAGCGAAGACAGAGATGTTGCTGACACCTTTCTCTACTTGGAGGAGTGACAACCACCACTTCATTTACTTGACAACAGGCCCCTCTGGTCCCTGGACAGTACTTCCCTTTCCCCTTAGCATTCAAGTTCTCACCTCTGATGGGTTGTTCTCATGAATGGTATTTAGAAACTTACTTGAGTTCCAGAGTAGCATTTTGGTACAACTGCATGAAATGCCTTTTCTGTATGATTTCTAGCAAAGATGTAAGGTTCTTTTGCATAATCTGAAGAGTGGAACTGGGTAGCTGGAACTCTTCATCCAAGGAATGATCTAGAGTTGTTGACTTTTCAATAAGCTCTATGGAGAAAAGTCATCAATCGTTAAATAAGTCTCTTCAAAGAACAGAGTCCTAAATGGAAAAACTCAGAATTGTCTTCAGTGAGGCCTACTGTTAGCCAGGTAAGACTATCCTATGCATCTAGTATACACTTGACACCCCCTATCAAAATGCTAATGGGCTTGGGACAACTGGTTTAATGTTGGTCTTCCCTACTAACCCTAAACTCTGCAAAGGGAGGGCTGTGGCTACCTGAGTATTTTCTGCCCCTCGCACAGAAATTTATTTGCACATAGAAATTGCTCTGTAAATATTACTGTAGAAATGGACCACCAGTACTTGATAATTTTTTTTTTTTTTTTTGGTGGGACCCTCACCAGCGGCCGGGGAACGAACCGGCGCTGCAGAGGCTGCGGGCAGCCTCGCAGCCCAGCGCTCAACCACTGCGCCGCCAGGGGAGGCCCAATTTTTCTTTTTTTTTTTTTTTAAGATTTATTTATTTACTTATACAAGAACCAGGTACAGGCCAGATTTGCGGGAGGGTGAGAGGATTCACCAGAGACAGAGCAGGGAACAGAAAAGGAAGACTGACGAAATACACTGCTGAGGGGAACAGGGGCACGACAGGAGAGATCTGCTATACCATGTGGGACCCTCGCCGGCTGGCTGGGATCTAACCAGTGCTGCAGATGCTTCAGACAGCTTCACAGTGCTGCCTGCACTCAAACTGCTGCGCCACCAGGGGAGGCCCAGTACTTAATAATTGTTTAAGCATATTATTTGTTTTAATAATTTATTTTTCCTTTACCCTATAAAGCGTGATTTGTATGGATTCTGTAATTTTTATGCCCTTACACTACAAGTGAAAAAAAAAAAAAAAGCAAGGATATATTTCTAGTAGCCAGGAAACTGAATGTCATATTCTAACAACCAGATTAGACAGGATATCACACTTGAGTAATGAGCAAATTGCTCTAATATTGTAGCCATTATTCTGGTTTAGTGCCTATTCTGGGTAAAGGGATAATGCTGAGAGTTTAGCTCAGCTGCCCCATGGAACTGTTTCTCCGCATCACTGTGGTTGAGTGGCCGGCAGTGACCCTCAGACCCTCATGCAAACACATGCCCTAGAGAGCAGCACAGAGTCCCAGGCAAAAGAAAGTTTTCAATATGACCACCCCAATAGCCCTTGTGATCCACGGTCTCCCCTACCTCCTTGTGTTGTCCCTTGTGTGCCCCTTTAAATAAGAACCCCTTCTGGCTTACCCAAGACCTGCATTTTTGCTTTGGATTGGTCAGTACTGCTTTAGCCCGGGACCTGCAGGGCACACTACCCAGGGACCTACCAATGACAGTGCCCAGGTCCTTCCTCTCTGTGTCTGCAATTCCTTGCACAGCCTCAACCTCCACACGTGTACATGCCACACACACACAATGACCTTCTCTGATTTATTTTCTGTTGTAGATGATCATTGAACCATTGGGCACCCTGATCTCCACTTATGAATTGACATTTATAAGAGATGGGGAAGCACTAGATCTATTTGAGATATTCAAGGCTTTAATGTAAGTACTTAAGAATATAGATGGAAAATTAAGTAAAGGAAATAATTTTTTAAAAGATAAAATTCAGTAAAAAACTATGAGGTAGATACATCAGGATTCCCTAACAAAGAATGTTCCATGTTTGGTTTTAGGAGGGCCAATGCAAGACACATGCATCTATTCACATAGGGAATAGGACTTTTCCTATCAAATAAGCACAGACCCCCCTCCCACCTCGCACACTGCCACCCCCAAACTTGACTCTTCACACTACCTTGGATGTTTAGCTGCAATTTCTCTGTGAATGTCATGAGGTCTTGACTCTTGTTGAAGATTCTCTCAGTCACCCTGGTCACATGTTGGCTACTTGTTAACACTCTAGTGAGCTGATATAATATAAAGGCTTCAGGTTAATTTGACTTGGAATAATATGCAAACTTCTGTATTTCAGTTGTTATCTCTTTTAAGCAACAAGATATTTTCCAGAATATAGAGTATAGACATAAACTATCCTGTAAGCCAAGGATAACATACTCAGGTTGGAAATTAAGTGGTTAATGAAATAATTTACTACTCACCCAGCATGAGAAAAGCAGTTATATTTTTATTTATTTATTTTTTAATTAATTAATTATTTATCTATACAAGCACTGGGCACAGTCAGAAGCGCGGGAGGGTGAGAGAATTCACCAGAGCCAGAGCGGGGAGCAGAACAGGCAGAAGGACCGAAGTACACTGCTGAGGGGAGCAGCGGGCGGCAGGAGAGGTCTGCGTGCCATGTGGGACCCTTCTCCGGTGGCCGGGGAGCAGCCAGGGATCGAACCGGCGCTGCAGAGGCTGCGGGCAGCTTCGCAACCCAGCGCTCAACCGCTGCGCCACCAGGGGAGGCCCAAGAAAAGCAGTTATATTTTTAAAAGCCACCTAGCTGGCTATTATAACAGACTCTCCCATTGTCTCCACTGTCCATTAGGCCCTATTCACTTTAGGAACCCACTTACACAGAATATAGAAAATAACTTACTAATTTAATACTGGCCGTGAAAACTATATTGCCCATGAGTCTAGGAGTTAATAACATGGAATCAAGCAAATTGTGTTTTAGGTGGCCAGATTGGAAAGCTAGTATGTAACATCTCCTAGACTCATCAGTAACACAAGGGTTATAACAACAATTACCTCCTGAGGCCCTTATGAGTATAAAATGTGATGATGTCTTAGAAGCTGGCAGCCCAGGGCCTGAAACTTTAGTTGGCCTTCCCTGTCACTTTTACCAGAATGTTTTGATTTGTAAAAGGAAAGGTTGTTTGTAATTTCTAAGAATGTAATGTAACTCAGAGAATATGTATTTAATATATAGAGAATTTATTTTCATCAGCTTACCATTTATGCTTGCTCACTCTGGTAGGAAAAGCCTACACTTAAACCCTTAAACTCTTCCCAAATCATCATGAATTCTCAACTCATAAAGCCCTGCTGGTAGTTTTTTAGGGTGCAAGATTGAGTGTGTGAATGTTGATAGAGGCAGCATATGTGTATGACACACACAGACATATACAGATACACACACACATCTCTGTGGCCACACAGACACAGATGAACACACACATGAAATCTGCAAGTGAAAGGTGTGAGTTTGAAAATAGGTACCCCTTACCATCTGTGAATAGGGAGTCTCACAGTTCACCTAGAACCATTCAGTTAGCATGGGTTTAACAGAATAATTCCTTGGTGACATCAAAATGAACACACTTGTCATTCAAAGTGCACAGATCAGAAGCACACAGCCTAAGCCCGAAGGCTGCACAGACACCACATAACGGGGCTGGCGCTGTGCTCACCCTGCCCAGCGAGTGGTGGCAAGTGGCACTATAGTTTGACAGATCGCCCCTGACACCCATGTTCACCATAGGCTCCACTTTGCAATAAATTTAGAGGAGGAAACCTTAGTGATCTTTCAATTTCACCCACTTCTTGATTCACAGGTGAAAGTTAGAGGCAAATGGAAAAGTGAAATTAACTCAGCCTTTTCCCACTGACTCCATGAAGAACAGGCCTCCCCAATAGGTGCAGAACAGGTCCTTCCCAAAACATGGCGCTCTGGCACATGGGTTATTTTGAGCTGAGGTCAACCAATGCACTGAAGATTTAGGACAAACTTTTACTCCCTTAACAACCTAGAAGAATGTAAATTTGGGATATCACTGGGAATTAGGGATTTTGCCAGAAATAATCCCTTTAACACAGAAACTTATCTATATGGCAGTGCAAACATCTAATCACAGAGCATCTGGACTTTGTCATATGAGTCACTCTCTCTTCCTCATGTCATGTAAGTCCTTTTCCTTACTCTTTGAGGCCCTGGGCTCCTATCCCACCCCTTAACTCAAGATGTATGTCCTCTTTTTTGCCCCACTGGTTTTGGAATCTACACCTCCATGGATCCTCCATATATATGCGATTGAATTTGTTTTCTCTACTATTAATCTGATGTTAATTTGTTTGCTTGCATAGTCCAAGAGGAACCCAGAGGGGTAAGGGGAAATTTCCTTTCAATCTCTGTAGCAGAGAACCTGGTAGGGTTAAAACCAATTGAACCATAAGGCACCCAGAGCTGCAAGGAAAAAGAGGTTGCACTAATGGAATCAGAACCATTCAGATGGCTGCAGAGCAATTGCTCACAGGCTGTGGGTGGGAAGTGGGCTCTTTGTGTAAAAAATTTACCTCCTTTTGCAGAGCATCCATTTGTTCTGCAACACCTTCAACTTGAATTTTTGCCAGTTCCTTTTGTGTATTTTCTTTTAATAAAGACTCCTAAAATAAAAACCGGGAAAATAAGAAGATAAATTATAATGCTTCAAAATAAAATTTCTGGTTCTGAACTAAAGATCACTTATTAACCTTTTTTGTTCACAGAAAGAACGTCTTTCCTCAAAATTGCATTAAAAAAATAAAACAACTACTCAAGTTTTGATTATAGCAAAATGTGTCCATATTGCTGTCTTTTGCAGTATATTTCCCATACAGATATAAATTTAAAGTCTAGTATGTCAAGCAGAATCTGATACTGCTACAGTTTAATCAGTTTTGATTTCAGAGGCTCATCAGTTTTAACCATAATTACCAACATCTTAAAAAAATTATTTAAGAAATCTTAAGTAAATCTAGGCCAAAATGTAAAATTATTAAATAACAAAACCCTTTATAATTATTAACAATTAAATGCTCAATTTATCCCAATGCTCTTTTAATTTTCTTACTTGTATGATTTTATTTTAACCTTATAATACACTAAGAAGTGGCCATAATCCTTCCTAATTTTTTTTTGATCAGAGGAGTTCAGTAATTTGCTCAAGGTCACTATATAAGTATTAAAAATAATGAACAGTAAAGAGTTCATACTCTTATCCTCCTGCATAATTTACATATGTAAAATGTTATTTAAAGGAATTGACAAAGATTTTAAATGAGAGCAAATCATTCAGAAATAGTGAAAACAAATCAAATATTCATCTCATTTCAAAAATTTTAAATATAGTTATATCCCTGGGGCCCAAACTGATAGAAAATCATATTTATTGATTGTATCTATAGTGAATGAAAATGAACAAGACATTTAGAGTCCCCCAGACTTTCTCAACTGCCACTGTGACTCTAGATTACTAGCACAATTAACAGGGCCTCCTTGGTGGCACAGGGGTTAAAGACAGCACTTTCAAGCTACTTCCAGCCACTACAGCAAGAGTTCGATCCCCTGGTGGGCAGGGAACAACCCACATGGCTCAGCAGAACTCTCCTGCTTTGCCCGCTGCTCTTCTCAACAGTGTATTTCAGTCAATCTGCTTGCTGTGTTTCCCACTCTCTCTGGTGAATCCTTTCACCCTCCCCACCTCTGGCTTAAACCCCAGTTCTTGTATGCATAAATAAATAAATCTTAATTAAAAAAAAAAAAACTAGTACAATTAACTAAGAATGGACCATTGAAGCACCCAGAGTCCAAGACATAACCCCCTCCACCCTGACACACACACAAACACACAGACCTAAGGAACATTAAGTCTCAAAACAACTTTTATGTTAAAAAAAAAAGCATTCAGGGCCTCCCCGGTGGCACAGCGGTTGAGCGCTGGGTTGCGAAGCTGCCCGCAGCCTCTGCAGCGCCGGTTCGATCCCCGGCTGCTCCCCGGCCACCGGAGGAGGGTCCCACATGGCGCGCAGACCTCTCCTGCCACCCGCTGCTCCCCTCAGCAGTGTACTTCGGTCCTTCTGCCTGTTCTGCTCCCCGCTCTGGCTCTGGTGAATTCTCTCACCCTCCCGCGCTTCTGACTGTACCCAGTGCTTGTATAAATAAATAAATAAATATTTAAAAAAAAAAAAAAAAGCATTCAGAAAGACTACTCTCTTTATCACTGCCTGATACAATGTGTTAATTATCTCAAATTCAAAGGTATCTATTTTAGGCAAAAATTAAGAATCATAGTTGTTTCCAATTAGAATTAAAAATGCTAGAGTAAAAGGCATTCTACATGTCAATTTCTTAATTTCTCATTCTTTTTTTGGACCCTGATCCTGTTTACTAAACATAAGACGTTTTTATCTAGGCTTCCAAGGAGGAGGAACATTTGTGCCCTGCAACTTCAGTTAAGCATAACACATTCATAGAAAATAGGTCATCTCAACATTAAAGAAAGATACTGTCCAACTTATTTTCTGTATTTGTATTAGGACAGTTATTTCAACTATCCAAAGATCTGTCATAAAGGTGAGTGGATAAACTTTGTCTTGTTCCAAAAGGCAAATGATGTAAAAATATATATAAATAAAATATAGTTTTAAAAATCTATAAAAGAAAGAAAATGTAATCAAGTGCACTGCATGGATCAGCTATCACAAAAATGTATACTGGATGGTAATTTAACAAAAATAATCAAAAAAACCCACAAAAGGCAAATGAAGGGCTGTGGGGGTAGAACCAGAAAGGAGTTGCCTATGGAGCCAGCCACAGCAGTCAGAGCTGTCCTACAGTGAAACACACTAGCCTGTGAAGGATGAAGTCCCTATCATGTTCAAGAGAAGGCTGGCCACCTACTAAGGGCGGCCACTGGGAATGAGACTCTTTTAGTAGCAGGAGGACAGACAGAATGACTCCTACTGTCCCGTCTGACTCTTGCCTCCCGGTGCACATATCCATCCATCTCTGTAGTCATAGCACCTACCTGGAGATATTTAGTTGAATTTTCCAGTTCTGACAACATTCCATATGGGGCAGGGATAACACCAGTGAGGTTCACAGAAATAATGGTCTCACCAATACTCTCCAAGTCATTCAGCAGCGCACCTACACAGTCATCATCACAAGCTAGAAGAAAAAGAGCTGATGTTAATGTGGAACCATCTGCACACTTTCCCACAGGTCTGCAGGAGCCTTTTTTATGTACTAACAATATTGGACTCCCATGGCTTCATGGCTTCACACTTTTTGGTCTCACATCAATGTACATCAAGATGAAGCCCCTATTCTCAGAAGGCGACACCGAAACCCAGGTGAGACTTAGGCCACGCTGAGTCATGCTGGATCACACAGAAACGAACAACAGATCCCACAGCAGAGCTTGGGGCTGGTGCACATGCAGTTACTCGGCTCCGAACTTCACTTTGCATTTGCTCAGCTTTAATGCAGTTTCTTTCAGAGCCTGGCTTGTCATTTCTCAGTTTGTGGACGTATCTTCAGCAAGTACAAATGAAAGACACGAAGGGAAATGACAGATGTGTTTTTGCTTATAACAACCACAAAGACAAAAGCAAAAATCTCTCACAAGCCACGATATCCAAAGATGACTTTCTCACATGCATGCTATTAAAATAAATCTGAAGTAGGGAGGAAAATCCACAAAAGCCAAGAACTGAAGCTGTCATTGAAATCTGGGTAACACATATGACAGCCCCCCAAAGCATTCCCTCTTGGAACTCTTGGCTCCACTGCAGGAAATAGTTGCACAGCTAAACTCTGAAGTTGGAATTAATGTGCAGCTCAGGCTGTCAGAGAGATAAATGCTGCTATTCTAGAACCTTCTGCCTCTGTGTGAAACACACTGAGAAAACTTTAGTTCAGCAGATGCAATGGCAGTCTATGCAGAGTTAAAATAGGACTTTCTCAATCCTTCTGACATGACAGGAAAACATATGAAAGGAAAACTAGCTTTGGACATTTAGAGGAGAGGTACCCACAAACGCAATAGGTGTCCATCAGAATGTGCCTTGGCTCACAATCCTCACACCGGAGTCCGGTGGACCCCGGCCTGCAGACACACTGCCCAGTGCCTCGGTCACAGTCACTGTGAAGAGAGCCTCTTGGGCTGCAGTTGCACCTCTGGCAAGTGCCACCTGGTGCTTGAGGGTCCCCGTGATAGCCTGTGGAGCACCTACATGGAGAAAGACACACAGGTTAGACAGCAGCGTCGACACCAGCACTGCCCAAGGCTGTCGTCACTTCTGCCAAAGGAAATGTAAAGAATCCAGCCACATTTACCTCCCTTGACACTTTATTTCCATAAAGGAGGATGAAGTGGTCACAGAAATTTAATTTGCCTATCTTAATGCATAGGAGATTTTATTTGGAATGGTAATAAGCTCCCAAATAAATCATGCACATCCAAACTGATAACAACATTCAATCACTTTGGTAATATGTCTAATTCTTATAAAGGAGCAGCAAGTGCCCTGTGCAAGCTTCACTACACACCTTTCACAATACCGTCCTTCGTAGCCCATAAAGCAAGCATCGCAGCGCAGGTCATCACCCTCCAAGACACAGGTGGGACTGAAACTGGAAGAAAAGAGTCATTTTGAAATTTTCAGATCTTCAACTTCAGATCTTTCTATTGACAATCATTATTCTGATTGTACATGATGCTGTTCTAAAAGCTAAGTGATTACACTGGGTAATTGGATAAGCTTTTTAGGGGTTAAAATCTATCGGGCAAAAAGAAGGCAAAGATGTAATCAAGATGGGTGTGCACCCAAAAGTCACTCATAAAAAATAACCATGGGTGTGCAAGTCCCATGTTACAGACTGTAACTCACTAGTCACCAAACAAAAAGCCTCCCAAGTGAAAGGTTCTTATTCTGAGAGTTGAGTAAGGAATTCTCCGACTTATTAGGCAACACTGTGATTAGGGAGAACTGAACATGACTGTGCAAGAATGAGAAACAGCAGGGAGAAGAGAGCTAGGCAGAAGCTGGCAAATATAATTGACTAATGAAAAGGAAGGTGGAAAAGTAGGGGAGAGAAAAGCAAAGAGTGAGGGTGAAATTTGAAAATAAATGAGCCTAATGTAAAGTGCCATGTGATGGACTCTTAGAAGCAAAATATTAGAGCCACTGGGGGTTTAATAATCCACTCGGATGTTTGTTCCCTCATTTATGGATTCAGCTTTTGACTTGTTTCTTTCTTTACAATAGCCTCTGCCTCCACGTTTTAAATTACCAATACACCATCTAGAGGCTCAGCTGGGTACATGCAAACTATTGAAAAATCCCAGGAGAGTAATCTGGTTTAGGGCTGGCAAGAGAACTTTCTAGCATAAGTGCAGAGTTCTTTATTAGTACCACTTCACTCTGACTTTTTTTCTTCCTTAAATACTAAAGAAAAAGTCATCAGTAGAAATGCAAAATATGTAGCAAGGCCAGCACATCTTTTAGGATTCCTTAGATGCACAACACACAGAACATCCTTCCTACATGGGCCTTGGGGGCAGTTAGAACCTGTTTTGATTAAATAAGTAAAATATTCAATCAGTATAGAAATGGGCAAGGTAGAAAGGGGTAATATCCTAAAAAACATTTCTCCAGTCATAGATTCATGAACTATGAATATGGTTGTACAGATGGATACTAGCAATTTCTTCAAAATGGCAACCTATCGGTCAATAGACCATTTCTCCAAGTCTGCACATAATATAGCCTTATTTTTTTCTCAGTGCTTGTACAATATTTCACTCTAGATATGTACCACAACGCATATGGTCAATTTCCTGTATGTAGACATTTAATACCCCCACTCCCAATTTCTTGGGAGTACAAGCAGTGCTAAAATGTATCAATCATGATATACATATTGCCATAATAATGATTACAGGATTAGAATTGATGAACCTATACATATCTTATATATAGGTTAATATATTGATACATTAAGTAATAGCAACAATAAATTTTAGGATGCTTGATAGTTTACTTGGCAAGTTGATGTATTTAGTACCTCTTATTTGGCACTCACTCTCAAGGATCACTTACTTGGAGAAAGAAAAAAATATTTAAACAAATATTAAAAAGAAAACTTCATTTTACATTGTATCAAAAGTTGGCATTTTATCTATGCAAGTTCAACACCTTGTCAAATACTCTTAGCAATAATAAAAGGCTATTTATGAACCATAATTTCATTTAAATGAAGAAAACCCATGGATATGCTAATTCCCACTTAAAATTTCTGACTCTTTTTAGCATTCAGACAATTCTAACCAAGCATCATGAGTAAAAGGTAGAAGCTGGCCCAGTTTTATCACTATGTAGTATTTCTGCACTTCATCCTTCATCAGCACTTATAAATTCTAGCCCATTCCCTTTCTTTAAACATGAACTGGCTTCTTTGTATCATTATCTATAAAATTAACAACATTTCATCTCCAGGCAAACTGGATATGTAGGTCAGAAACTAAAATTAATCTTCAAAAACAAGACCTGAAAGTCCTTTCCTTAATGGGTTTTGATTCAACACCCAATATCAACACAGACACTTTGCTTTTGAAAAGATTCTCATCAAATGCTTGTGAGAATCAAACATTTTTTCTTAAAATTTGCCTTTTCAATGCATGGTGAATATTCATTAAAACACACAGAGACTCTGGAGAACAGGTGAAGATGGGAGTGACCAGCAGCAGAGACACAGGTGTGGCACACATGGGTGCAGGCTCACCTGGCTGGAGCGTGGCGAGGGCAGGTGCAGGGAGAGCAGTCAGCGGCCGATCCAGCCACCTTCCCATAGTAGCCTGGAGCACACATGTCACAGTGGTCGCCAGTGGTGTTTTCGCTGCAGTTCTGGGGTCCCATGGTTCATAAAGGAGGGAAATAATGGGAAATTGTTAGGAACCATCCTGACCTGGCAGTAGCTAAGTGCCACATGCTTTGTATCAGTTAGTGATTTTTTTTTTTAAATTCTTGAGGAAGTGGGGGGCCATTTTCATTCTGATTTCTAAAATCCAACTCTGTGGCTCTCATTCATTATAAGACTACATTCATTCAGGACAGCTTAGAAATAGCTAATACAGCCTTCCAGTTGATTTTATATCATCACTTGGACCTACAATCCTGCGATTAAAAATGTATTAAACTGAAAATGCAAGGCATCCTGGATGTGCAATTCCAATGGAAAATCTGTTTTGCTCAGTTCATCTCTCTTCATCCTGCCTGGGCACGGGTGTTGGTGCTGGACGCAGGGTAGAAAGGTGAGTAACCACTGGGGGACACTGAGAAAATCTGAAAACTGACTCAGATTTGTGTCTTTGTCAGAGAGAGAGGATGTAGAAAAACCATTTTATATGCCTGAAAAGCTATTTTTGATTTCCTTTTAATTTGAAGAAACGCCAGTGTTTTTCAATTTAAAATTGTATTTCTATTTCAACTGATAAAAATAGATCTTACTGAGCTCTATGTGGCCCTCCAACAGAATTCTCTTTAGAAGTACAACTTGCAACCTTTCTCTTAAAAAGGAAATATGCTAAGTCCTTATTTTAATAATAAATCATACAGCTGATAGGAAATAAATATCAGATGAAACTAATTTTCTTGTTTTTAGTTGCTAACACCAACTCTAGCTATTGAAGACTCCCCTAACATACAACAGATTGTGAGGTCTTTGGTCTTCAAGAACCTGGAAAATGAAAGATAAACTCCCCCAAAATGTGGCAGATATTTAACAAAGACCTGTTGATGACAACACTGGGATGAGTTGATGCCAGAAGTGCACAGAGGACACCTTACAATTGCTCAGTGTATTAAGGATTTTTAAGTGAATTTCAAAGGATTAAGTCATAGCTCCAGGAAGGGGGCAGGAAGGGAGCAAGGCCACGGCATTTCCCTAGTCCTCAGTCTCCAAAATAGCTTCCAGGTCACATTTCCAATCAACCACTATATGATGGTACCTACATCCCAGTGACATGAAGAGGGAGGAACATTCAACCTATTAGATGACAAATCAGATTCAAAAAGGTCTTGATGCCCCCCTATAGATCATGTTTCCACAGGGAGTGCTGAAGACATCTGTCAGTGGAAGGGGATATTGCACTAAACCCCAAATGGGAGCTAAGGCTGAAGAGAAAAGATAAGGTCCAAAGTTCAAAGAACAAGGACTCAGATGCTCAACTTGAAGACGGAAAGAATGCAAGTGTCTTAGCATCTAGTTAATTCGATAGAAGCAGCTCTAGCAGGGCTGGCAAACTGCATTCATTCAATAAAAACAGTGTGTAAATTCTGAATTCATGGAAACATAGTCCTTAGAGTAAGGGATGCCCTCCCTCCATACCTTGAGTAAAGGCATCGGGCTCTGGGCATGATACTGTAAGGCAGGTGGTGACAGTCACACCTCAGGCTGGTGAAGGCAACATAGCCACCCGCCATGATCACCATGAATTGCATATTTGACCAGGAGGGTGAGGATTCAAGACTTTTGGATATGTGAAAGAAGCATTTTTATCAAATAGTTTTGTAAATTATTTGTTAAGAAAGGGCTGCTTTAATGAACAAATTTGAACTAGTGGTTTGTCTCAGTGGCTCCAAAGATTAATACTATCCCAGCAGATGAATGGGCCAGGAACACCAGTTCCAGGAATAACCAGGGATGTTGAAACAGGAGCTGAGATGCATTGGGAGTGAGCTCCTGATTTCTAGAGGTGAGTAAATGTACATTAGTAACCACCTGGAGCATATGTTGTCATCAGCCGTAGGGTCTGAAGGGACTCTGACAAAACTGAAGGTCTCTTGCAAACCTAAAATTCCAAATTCTGATCCCAGACACTGCTTTCTGTTTAAAGATGGTTTCAGTTACAGAAATCGTCAATTAGCAGTGACTCTGAAGTCACTAGGGATAAACACTGAACATAGCTTTTAAAAAAGGGAAAGAACCTGAAGCAGAATGTGTTTTGTTCGATACCATGAAATTGCACAACAATCTAGATTCAGAATCTTTGTCTAGTCTTCTGGCACTGCATACAGCCATGTTGTGTAATGCTATAGCTAATTAACAAACCCAGAGGATATCTTCCACGACTTCTAGGTAACATATGGTGGGCCATCTCCTGGGAGCAGGGGCCTGTCTGAAAGGTATCCATCACTTTTTATCCCAGGGAGACTCTTAACCACAATATTTCATGGATTGAGTTAAGCAGGTTGTGTTATTTTCCAGGTACAAATCAACAGGTCAGCAACTAATCTTAGAAATACCCTCTGGTGGATTTGGGCCAGGAAAGGCAGGTAATAACTTAATGTCCTAAGAGTACCTGATCTTGTTAAAAGAGTTAGCTGTGTCAGGGGAATAGGGATGCAGCATGAAAGAAGTGATCGACAGCCTTAACTCTCCATGTGACCTCTGTCCTCATGATTGGCCAAGGGAACTTCCCTGCTAATTACATCTCCCTTAAAGTTGCCTGATATCAATTCTCTTTAAATCCTTAAATGAGATTTTCTCATTTTCTCCATTAGGACTTTACTTTTGCCTGGAGCATGAGTTGATTAGAGAGAATAAAAATTTTTTAATAGTGTTGCAGCTATTTGTATCTTCATTAAGCTCATTTTACCTTGTAGGACTAGAATAATTCTTTAATTCCACATATATAATGGAGTCAGCAAAGGTTAACACATATCTTTTTAATTGAAGGAAACCACACAATGCTTCAGTTTCTATATTCACCTATGCACTGCTTTAATTTAGTAGCTCTCCCAGTGGAAATTACCTTTAAATTCCACAATGGAAAGACACTTCTGAATAGAAAAGAAGATGACACATTTATGGTAGCTAGAGGCCAGTGAGGAGCCCACTGTTCTAATTCTTCAGCTGGTTCCCAGTGATTAGGCCATACCCTAGCTCCCTAAGTCTTCTGGGGTATCTTTCTCAGTGAGCAGCTCAGTTCCCTTTAATGAATTATCTAACCTGCAGCAAGTTAGTCATGGCTCAATTTATACAAGTAACCATGTTTCCATACCCGCTAATATAAAAAATGAGATTTTAAGACTATGGAAAGAGGGCCTCCCTGGTGGCGCAATGGGTTAAGACTCAATCTATGATGTATCCACAGCCACTGCAGCACAAGTTTGAGTTCGATCCCTCCCTGCCAGTGAACAACCCACATGGTGCAGCAGACATCTCCTGTCTTGCCTCCTGCTCCCCTCAGCAGTATATTTCAGTAGATCTGCCTGTTCTGTTCCCCACTCTCTCTCTCTCTCTGGTGAATCCTCTCAGGCCCCACACCTCTCACCTATACCCCAGCTCTTGTATGCATAAATAAATAAATCTTAAAAAAAAAAGACTAGGGAAAGATATCAGATTATTCCATGTGAGTAAGAAGGCATGATCATGGACAGTTTTCATTCAAGGCCACCAGACTTCTGTATGGGTCACTCAGTCCTTTTCTGTCAGTTGTCTCCTGTCCTCAACACCAACCTTGGGCTAGGGGGAGGTGGCTCAGCAGTAAATGTTTACTAAGATATCCAGGAGAACACACATTTTTTTAAACAAGAAGAGAGCAATGCTTGACACAGAAAAATGTATTTTCAATATTGATGATAACTTATTTAAACACCTCCAGATGATTTTGCAAATTCTATAACAAAAAGTTCTTGTCTACTTGGACTCAACCACCAGTACCCCATGGAAGTAAAAATGAGGCACAGCGAACTCATTCTCAAATTGATGTCCACAAAGAAATTCAAGAGAGTAAATTTATGTAAGAATTTGTACCAACATATCAGTCTACTGAGATAAGACTTTCTGAAGGAAACTGATGAATATCTTACATTTGAATAAATGTAGTCTCTTTCTAAACCAAGGAACCAGTGTGACTTTGCTCTGGAAACTTACACTCAGTGACTACGCTACTCCTAAACTTCATACCAACAAACATACCAGACAAGTCCCAGTTTCAGGGTCACAGGTGTCACTGTGGTTGTTGCAACTGCAGGGCACACAAGGAGCGAGCAGATGGTGGGGTCCTTTGCCACCATTTTCTGGAAGCTTCCCTCTGTGGTAACCAGGTGCACAGTCCTGAAGCAATGCAAATGGAAGGAAAGGAAAAAACAACCTGATTAAAAACTGGACAAGGGACTTGAATCAATATTTCTCCAAAGAAAATACACAAATGGTTCACAAACTCATGAAAAGATGCTCAACATTACAGATCACTGGGGAAATGTTAACCAAAGACCTTTAAGATACCACCCATACCCATGAGGATGGCTACTATCAAAAACAAGCTGACTATACACCTGAGGCATACAGCAGGGGAGGAAGAGGGGTCAAAACAGGGGAGGGAAAAGCACAAGGGAGGAGACTCCCTGGTGGAGCAAGGGGTTAAGATGCAACCTATGATGCTGTCCACAGCCACTGTAGCATGAGTTCGATACCTGGCCGGCCAGGGAGCAACCCACATGGCGCGGCCGACCTCTCCTGCCTCCCCCTCCTCTCCCCTCAGCAGTATCTTTCAGTCAATCTGCCTATTCTGTTCTCCACTCTGGCTCTGGTGAATCCTCTTGCCCCTTGCATCTCTGGCTTGCACCCCAGCTCTTGTATGCATAAATAAATAAATCTTAAAAAAAAAAAAAAGAGCACCAGGGACTGTGGTGATGGATCACTAGTGCTATGGTGGTGGGAGAACTACAGAGACTGCACCTGAGGGGAGAAATCAAATATTGCACAAAAGTTAACAGTGATATAAGAAGATAAATATAACTTTAAAAAAAAAGGAAAGAAAGTCAAGGGAGTTGTGTCTCATTAATTTTTTTGTAGCTTTCCCTGACGGTGATGGTCTCCAGCATTTATGAAATTACAAACACACTATTTTTTCTTACAGATCCACAACATAGAAAAACTTAAACAGGGCCTCCCCGGTGGCGCAGCAGTTGAGCACTTGTTTGCGAAGCAGCCCCCAGCCTCTGCAGCGATGGTTCGATTCCCAGCTGCTCCCCGGCCACCGGAGGAGGGTCCCACATGGCGCACAGACCTCTCCTGCCGCCTGCTGCTCCCCTCAGCAGTGTACTTCGGTCCTTCTGCCTGTTCTGCTCCCTGCTCTGGCTCTGATGAATTCTCTCACCCTCCCGCGCTTCTGACTGTACCCAGTGCATGTATAAACAAAATAAATAAATCTTAAAAAAAAAAAAGAAGTTACCAAACCCTATAATATATATTTTAAAAAAAAGAAAAGAAAAACTTAAACAAACAAACTAAAAACAGAACAAAAAAGCCCAGAAAATAACAATTCTGATAAGGATACAGAGAAACTGGAACTCTTGTATACTGTTGATAGGAAGGTAGAGTGTATAACTCTGCACAGAGGGCAGGGCAGCCCCTCCAAAAGTTAAAAACAGAATTGCCACATGATCCAGCAATCCTATATTTGGGTATAAACCCCCAAGAACTGAAAGCAAAGTCCTGGAGAGATTCTGTACAACATGTTCAAAGTACAACTATTCACATAGACAAAAGTGAAAACAACCCAGATGTCCACTAACAGATGAACAGATAAATAAAATGTGGCATATACATACAGTGGAAAATTATTCAACCTTAAAAAGCAAGAAATTTCATGATATGTCACAATATGGATGAACGTTGAAGAAGACATCATGCTAGTGAAATAAGCCGGGCATCAGAGACAAATACGACATGATTCCATTTATGACTTACCTGAAGTGTTCAAATTCATAGAGACAGAAATCAGAATGGTGGTTGCTGAGAACTAGGTAGGGGAAGTGGAGGGGTCGCAGGGGAGGATGGGAAGTGAGTGTATAATAAGTACACGATTTTACATTTGCAAGATGAAGAAGCTAGAGATTGTATAATAATGGGAATGTTCTTAACATGATTGAATGCTACACTTAAAAATGGTCAGGATGGTTAAGTTTATGTTTTTGCATGTTTTACCAATTAAAAGTTTTTAAAGGGATGAATGATACAATCAATGCACACAATGCACACAATCATAACATAAGTTATGTTTATCACTTGGAGTTGCAGTAACAAGCATATTTCAACTCAAGAACAGAACAGGAAGTGAACTTTGACCCCTGACCCCTACCTGACAGGAGAGTCCAGCAGTGCCAGCAGGACAGAGACACTTCTCTATGAGGGACGCTGCTTTGCTCCCGGGACGCAGTGTCTCTGCCTTTCTGCCAACCTCCATCGAGACATTGGAGATTCTGTGAAAGTGTTGTGTTAAAAAGTGTAAGAGGAAACACTAATATTTAGAAAGACACTTTCTAGAAACATAGCACATTACATAATGATATTTGCACCTACATCAAACCAAAGCTTCCTGCCAGTTTGGGAGTTGTTGTTCCTACTCATGACAATAAAGAAAATGCAACTGAGCGCTGTCCTTACATGGCCAAGGTCCTCGATCAACTTTAGAACTTAAAATTAATGCCACAGAAAGTGTATCTGAAAGACTTCTGGAAGCACTAGCTTGGTCAAAACTTCCTATTTTTTTAAGTTTTTTTTTTTTAAGATTTTTATTTATTTATTTATTTATGCAAGAACCGGGGTATAGGCCAGATTTGTGGGAGGGTGATAGGATTGACCAGAGACAGAGTGGGGAACAGAACAGGCAGACTGACTGAAATACACTGCTGAGGGGAGCAGCAGGCGCTACAAGAGAGGTCTGCTGTTCCATGTGGGACCCTCGCCGACTGGCCAGGATCGAACCAGCGCTGCAGAGGCTGTGGATAGCTTCACAGTGCTGAGCTCAACTGCCTGCGCCACCAGGGAAGGACCACTATATATATATATATATATATATATATATATATATATATATATATATATATAAAATATGAAAAGTCCTGACAGCTTTCCTGATACGTAACTACAAATAAATTAGCACTTCAGTTTAAGGGCAGAAAATGGCAGAATTGGGGCTTCCCTGGTGGTGCAAGGTGTTAAGCACCACACTATGAAGCAATCCGCAGCCTCTGCAACATGAGTTCAATCCCTGGCCTGCCAGGGAATGACCCACAAGGCACAGCAGACCTCTCCTGACTCACTTGCTGCTCCCCTCAGCAGTGTATTTCAGTCCATCTGCTTATTCTGTTCCCCACTCTGTCTCTGGTGAATCCTTTCACGACCTCCCCACCCCCGCATCTCTGGTCTGTACCCCAGCTCTTGTATGCAAAAATAAATAAATCTTAAAAAAAAGGAAAATGGCAGAATTTATTTGTTTTTTTTTAAATCTTACCTTTAACTAAGATATTACCATTATATTTTATGTCCACATATGGAAGATGGATAATATGCAATTTTTTCACACATTTCATAATATTAATATTTAACAACATTTTTGTAAGGAACAGAATTACATATATTAATAGACAGGAGATAATGGGGGGTGACGTGAATCAAATCTCTTCAGTTCAGTTTCAAGTAAGAAAAATATTTTTAAAATTCTAGAAAGTTCCAACTACCTGCTTTGTTGTAATCCTTGGCCATATGATGCTTTGATGAGAATGTACTCAATGTTGCTAAGAACAGACATAAAATCCGAGCGTGTGACAGGTTCTTCAGAAACAGAGTTAAAATATTTCCAAAAACTCTGTGGATAAGAAACACATTCAATTAAACGGAGAGTACATTTTTCAGAGGTAATTGATTTAGATTGATTAAATTATTTGTTTCTTTTTGTAAATTTCCCCAAGAGCGAGTTCAGTGTTGCACCTGATGCTAAGTTTGAATGACACTGCATTTAATCTCCTGTGACCTCCCAGGAGCAGGAGAGGTGCTGTTCTCATCCGTCAACACACTCGTCACCCATGGCAGTGCCAGCCACATGGGATCTGCCCATACACATGTGTGGGAGGAATGGACACACAATTCCAAGGTCAAGCAAGCTCAAAGACTTCAGATTATTATACCTCAAATAAAGGATTTAAGATGCAAATTCCACTAAATTTACATAAGATTAACAACCATGTTTTAAGAATGTGAAATCTGAACTATTTTTTAAAATCTTGATAGACTCATTGGAATTTTGATCTGAGAGTTTCTGGTTCACTCTTTTACTAACAGCCTTAAAATCTCACTACACCAGTAACAAAATGCATGCATTTAAGGGACTCTGATGAGAGCACATCTTCACCTCTTTCATTCCGACTTCTTGCTCTTGCCACACTCCGTTCTCTGGAGGGGGCATGTCCACATAAATCACTTGCTTTCTGGTCTGGCCGCCTTTGATGAGCACTTGTGGTTCAAGGTTGAAGGTGCCGATGCCGTTGGATGAGTAAAAAGCCACGCTATACCTTAGTGTGCCACCGTAGGCCATGAGCTTTAGAAGAGTAAACTGTGGTTACTTCTTTGATACAGCACTGTTCAAAAGTATTTTATTACAAACCTTCAGTTGTTGAAAGAAATCTATTTTAAAAATATAACACAAGTGTAATATGTTGTCTGCAACAATTTGCTTCCTTCTAATTCTTAGTTATGAATTCTTAAGTTGATCCAAACTATAGTTTTGGGGTTTTTTTAGATTTTTAAATGTTTAAAAAAATGCTTTATTGGTGTATGATTGGCTGTACAAAGCTGTGAATAGTTAATGTATACAATTCAGTGAGCTTGGAATGAATAAGTACGTAGCTGAAAAGCCACCTCCGCCATCAAAGCCACAGACATATCCATTAATCCCAATGTTTTCATTTAATGATACCAACAAAGGTGAGCTTCAAAGTAATAAATCAATGAGGTAGTGATTCTAATCATTTGCAAGCTCTTTTGAATTAAAAATGATCATGTATTTGTGAGCACTGGATGGATATTTGCAAATTTTAATGATCAGGGTGTATTCACACACAGATTCTGATGTTTATGGAGACAAAAATGCAAGCAATGCTTTCAAAAGTCTTTTATGGTAGGATCATATTTTCCTATCAAAATTTACTGATGATTTCTTGGGAAGGACCTCCCAGACCATAGTGCCCAGGCTTCTTTTGAGACTTCATTAATAAAAACAATAAATGTTTGTTGAATGATTGCTTTAAGAACGAAAAATGATATGATTTGAATTTTAAACTGCTTTTAATTTTAATTAAAAAGTTTAAGGATCCATACATTTGGGGGAATTTTTATAAGTGTCAAACTTCTCTATTTTAGAAGAGGAAATTAAAATGCCCTCCAGTTAAGGTCAACACAGGTTGACTTAAAGATTATCATGTATAGTCGAGCACTGTTATTGTGCTTTCAAATTGCATTTGAAATGATTATTTCAAAGATTATTTGAAATAGTGATTTCAGAAGATACCCATGTCCCTCAGAAACTGGACTGGCTCTAGGCTGTGCATGGCCTCACCTGGTCCCCCTGGAACTGGCCGGGCAGCCGCCAGTAAAATGGCTCTTCATGGACATGCTGCCTGACAGTCACAGCGTCCAGGAGGACATCTGGGGCCTGGAGATACACCCCCTCAGCCGTGCCCCTAAGGTTACTCTGAGAAACCACACGCAGAAGAGGTTGATCTGAGTCCAGCATTACCTAGACATAAAAGGGAAGAAAAATCACTAATTTAGAGCATGAACTAATATGTCACCTTTGCAGATTCTACCAAGTTTTACAAATGGATAGCTTCATTATTAAAACTGGAATAAGAAACACTTTTTCTTTCAACATCTGGGTTAATATTAACTGAATGTTTTATTTTTTTTTTAAAAAGATTTATTTTCTTTATACAAGTACTGAGGTACAGGCCAGATGCGCAGGAGGGTGAGAGGATTCACCAGAGACAGAGCGGGGAATAGAACAGGCAGGCTGACAAAACACACTGCTGAGGAGAGCAGCTGGAAAGGTCTGCTCGCCATGTGGGATTGTTGCCAGCCAGCCGGGACCGAACCGGTGCTGCAGAGGCTGCAGACAGCTTCACAGTGCAGTGCTCAAGCGTCTGCGCCACCAGGGAGGCCCAGAATGTTTGAAACTATTGCATTTAAGGCCAATCATGCTATATTGGAGCAGTATCCAGTTATCTTTATTTTCTCTTTTGGTAGATTTTCTCTATTTTATTTTTGTTTTTGATAGATTAGCTAAAGAGGAACACCGAATGTCTACTTCCTCTGACAGCAAGCTGGAACTTCACAACTGACGAGAAGTTCTGAAGTCTTAAGAACAAAATTTAACCTTAGTACTTGACTGCCTTTCCCCCATCCCCCACCTGACTCCCAAGGAGATAACTCACCGGGGTCCTCATGTAACCCTCCACCTCCGAGCAGAGCTGCGAGAGCCCAAAGCAGAAGCACGGGGTGCACCCCCGAGGGTTGTCAGCCTGCAGCCCGTAGGTACCTGGTCGGCACTCACTGCACTGCAGGCCAATGACATTTTCCTAGTGGGGAGAAATAAGACTCTTTACCTGAAAGTAAGGGAAACAATCTGAACAATCAGAAACAAAATAAAACACAAAAATAATTATGGATTAACACATATCCCACATATCCCTGAACTCCACATTTATTCAGGCAAGTTCCTGAATCATCTCTGAACTTCTTGGAAAATACAGATTCCTGGAGGAGAATCTTCTGGGATGGCCCCAGATGACTGATGCTCAGGGTGGAGAGCTAGGGACCAGATAATTATCAGGCGGTCCTTATCTCTGCCCATCTGTAATAGCTATCGCAGATCTGGTGAGTTTAAAAATATAGCTGCTGATGTTGTGTAACTCTTGGGTTGTAGTATCCACATGAGCTTTCCTTTCTCTTCCCAGTCACTAATCAATTTACTCCCCTCTGGCTTCCATCTCACCAGGCCCTGGGAAAGATCCAGAGAAGGCAGCTAGCGACCTCGTCAGAACAAAGTACAAAAAGAAAAGGGATGAAATTACAGAAAATTAAACACAATGTGGAAATCTAACCTCCTGGGAAAAACACACACATTATTTCCTTCAGTCTGGCCAGCACATACAAGAGAGTAATTTCTTGCCAGTTATAAAATCATAAATCTTAAAGCCCCATGTTATCTATGTTACCTGTATATTCAAGATAGACTGTCTACTCAGACAACAGGATCACATGTTAGAAAGCTCAGTGCATTTTTCAAATCAGTGCCATCATTTGACACTTGTAATAAACAGTAAAAATGCCATTTAAAGAATCATCCGTTGTTCCAGAAAAGCATATAAGGAATTAAACTCAAACCTCAAAGATAAAGTGATGCATTAACTTAGCTGCTTATTTGGATGAAGACAGTCATGAGTCAGCAGAGGAAGAAAGTGCAGCGTGGGTGGGGGGGCAGTACCTTGCAAGAGCAGGAGCCTGTTTCCTCTGCACAGCCACAGAGGCCCCGCTCCTGGTCACAGGTGTCAGCCACCGTGCCCCTCAGGTCGCAGTCACAAGCCACACAGTCAGGGAAGTCGCGGTGGCCCAGGGCGCACCGATCACAGCACCGTCCCCCGAAGGTGGGCTGACACTGACAGAGGCCAGTGAGCATGTCGCACTGGTCACTGGCTGAGCCTACAAGACTGCAATTGCAGGCCTGAAAGAAAATTAAGCTAAATAAACAAAAACGCAGCTTTGGTGTCTTCCTGATGCACGCATGTTGGGGTTAGAGGAATACACACCACATAGGGCAAGTAAACAGATGAGCCGCCTGCCCTGTGGCTGATGCTGTGTGGAGCCATTTTGTCTGGTGCCACCGGGAGGAGGACCCACCAGCTGCCTGCCACCTGAGCATCTTTGTGGCCTGGATTTCCACTGGCTTCATAGTTCAACCAGTCCAGCAATATTATTTTAGAAGTCAAGAAGTTTTCTTGTTTTTATTTTTTTTTAAGATTTATTTTATTTATACAAGAGCTGGGGTACAGGCCAGAGGTGCGGGAGGGTGAGAGGATTCACCAGAGACAGAGCAGGGAACAGAACAGGCAGACTGACTGAAATAGACTGCTGAGGGGAGCAGCAGGTGAGACAGGAGAGGTCTGCTGCACCATGTGGGAATCTCCCTGGCTGGCTGGGAATCGAACCTGTGCTGAGGAGGCTGCAGACAGCTTCACAGCGCTGTGCTCAACCCACTGAGCCACCGGGGAGGCCCAGTTTTCTTGTTTTTAAAACAAACTTTCCTAAGTTTGTGTTTGAGGAAAGTTTTATAGAAAACCTAAGCCCTCGAAGTTTGGCCATAACCACCAATAAGAAGATTTGTGCCTTTCTCTTGGAAAACAGCGTCCAGGGCAGAATATATCTTTAAGGGATTAAAATAAAATTTGATCCATCCATTACACAACAAGGTTCTTAAAGAAAACTCAGAATAATGTATTTCAAGGGTACTGCTGCTTCTACTTTGAGCCCCATCATCCACACCCAGTTTAACTACATACCATAAATACTAGTTAAAATCAAGCAAAGGAAGAACAGTGGAACTTGCTAAGGCAAAGCAGGTCTCAGAGGAGCAAGAGCACAGCACCCACCTGGCACCCGAGCTCCAGGTCATGGCCCCAGTATCCGGGTTCACATTCTCCACAGGCTGCACCCTGGGTGTGGGGCGGGCAGATGCACTCCCCAGAGGCGGGGTCACAGGTGTTGCCAGTGTGTGCGCAGTCACAGGCTGCAGTGGGGACACATGGTGTTCAGGTCAGGTTGACAGAGGAAGGGTAAGAGTCAATGCCACAAGTTAGTTCCCCTTCATTGCCAATTCAAATCATTTTCTTAGTTCTCAAATTGACCTCGTGATCCCTAAGACCCCTCCCTCCACATCGCCAGGGAGGCTGGCTTTAATCAGGACAGACAGGGAGAAATAGAGAAAAGATTGGGAAGACCTCCACAGCAGGGGAGAACAGTTAAGTTTCTATTCACTGAGCACTTATTGTGCACCAATTTAAATGACTTTATGTACAACCTTCAAAGTAACTCTGCGGGGAGATTATAATTAGCATCTCCATTTTAGAGATAAGGAATCTAAAGCTAAGTGATGTTAAATGATCGACCTAAATGCACACAGTGAGTGTGAGCACAACTAAAGCTCATAGTGGGACCCAGAATAGGGACCACAAAATTGAATAAAGGGACGAAATCATACATGTCGGAGATGTATGGAGAAAAAAGCAAGGGAACTTAACAGAATTAGAGACAGAGGACTGCTCAAAGGAAAGGCTGGGGTTATTACACAGTATAGAGCAATGGATTCAGTGCTTACGTGTACAGCCACCGTCCTGGAATGCGTAGAAGCCCTGAGCACACCTGTCACACCTGTCCCCAGCTACACCCAGAATGCAGTGACACCGGCCTTCCTCTGTGCAGTCGTCTGACATGGAGCCCAACGCGCTGCAGTTACAGGGCAGGCAGCCATGCCCTGTGGCCAAGCCATAATAGCCGTGCTGTTCAACGGAGGGGCGGAGAGGAGAAGCCAAAATGCATTTCAGTCAATAACAATATACAGAGAATGTTTTCTGAAGTAAAGATAGTCTGTTTCATAGAATCGTGCAGTGCTCAGGTCCATTTCATTTGGAACATGCTCAAGGTGTCAGTTGCAGATATCACTGATAAGAACTTGACTTGTGTCAACGACCACGGGGGTCTTACCAAGCACTGGTCACACTGCTGTCCGGTCACATGTGGTTTGCAGTCACAGAGGCCAGTCTCATGGTGGCACACTCCGGAAAGGGCGCCCTCTCCATGGCACTCACAAGCTAACACACACACAAGACGGAAAAATGAGAGTTCATTTCCAGGGATGATTATAACAAGATCTCTTGGTCCCCCAAAGGAAAAACTTTAAACACTCATGTTTCAAATCACAAAGCTAAAAATATTATTTTGCAATAACTTTAAATTTCTGAAGAGTAAGCTGTAATAGGGTTAGTAGAGGAACCAACGCATCTTCAGTCAGACTACCTAGGTTTCTACACCTTCTTCAAGTCTTAGATCAAGTGACCCTTGTTCTGGGGGTAGCCCTGGACTGCGCTAGCGCATGGATATAGCCCTCCTTCCTGCCTCATAGCATCTTGTGTATGCCCTATATGCTGGCCACTGTCCTACGTGTCTCCCAAGCAAGCTCTGGGGTGTGACTGATGCAACAGGGGAATAAAATGCACCTGAAAATAGAAACCTGGGCTGACAGCTTGGCCCAGACCCAAAGCCTGCCTGTTCTGACCCTCTTCCCCCACCTTCTGTGCATCAGCAACACCTTCTATTTTTTTTTAAGTTGTGTTTGTTTATTTATTTGTTTATTTATTTGTTTGTTTGTTTTTACATCGTTGTTCATTTTTGCACAATGTTTGGTATCTCCTCTCAAGTGTTATCCCCATAAAATTGCCACCACAAGACCCCCATGAACCATCACTATAGACTCAGGCTCTTCCCTCCCATTTTGATCCCTCTCCCTCTGCCCCCCCCCCCCACCAAAGAATGGCTCCAATTTATAGTCTGACTGCTAGCTTTTTCTTTTTTTCTTTTTTCTGATCCCTTACATGGTTTCCCTATGTTCCTCTTATAAGTGAAAACATCCGATATTTTTTTTTCCTTCTGACTTATTTCATCAAGCATAATCCCTTCCAGCTCCATCCATGTTGCTGCAAATGGCATACGTTTATCTTTTTTGAATGCTGAGTGGTCTTCCACTGACACCTTCGATTTTGTATCTTCTTTTTTTTTTTTTTGTATTTTTTTTTGTATCGTCTTTTTTATCCTCATGGCAAAACACTGAAGCAGTTTTGTCAATGAAGACACAAATATTAAAGGTAAAACAAAGTTTTGATGAAGAATGGAAAATTCTGAAATGCGTTTGAACAACTTGGATAGGTGAATTCACTTTTTCTTTTTTTTTAAATTTTCTTTTTTTAATTTAAATTTTATTTTTATATTCCCCATACAGTTACAACCCCCTTATTTTGACCCCAATCCCTCCCCTCCCCACCCCCCACCCCCAATAGAGTGTCTCTGGTTCATAGTTGTTTGTTGATTTTGAAATTTTCTTTCTTATAATTAGTCTTTTTCCTGGTGCCTTATTTAAGTTTTCTAGATTCCTGCTATGAGTAAGACCATCCGGTATTTTTCTTTTTCTTTCTGGCTTTGAATTCACTTTTTCAACTGTGAATTTTATGCAATCTAAATGTAAATCAAGTATTCTGATGGAAGTTTAGCATCCTAAGTGAAATGACCTAAATACACTGGGTTTCAAAGACTTGGTATTTAAAGAACAGAAAGCCAGCATCTCATTAGTTCTTCATAAAAACCTGACTACATGATAACACATTACTTTTTTTCAGAAATGTTTTAATCTATACATATAACTATGACCCTCTTAGCAATGAGAAAATAGTGATTCAAAGACGTTAATAAATTTGTCTAAAGTCACACAGCTGGTCACAGCCAAACCTGACTGTGCCCATCAGACTCCAAAGTCTGGGAACTTCTTCTGTGTTTCTTTTCCCATAATGTGTGACCCCTTAATAGTCTTGGGCCAGCATTTTCCAAATCCTATCATAGTGTTTAGTGTAGTGCCTGGGGGAAAGTACTAGAGAGTAAGTGATGAAAGAACAAAGGGATGAATCATCAAGGTTTGCAGCAAAGATGTAAAGAAATAACATGGGAGTTGAAGTAAATTTTGTAGCCTCATACAAATACCAGTTATCAATTATCCTCTTCTGCTAAGCAATCTAGGTGGCCTTTGTGGCTAAGATCAGGCTGATTGGCCCAAGGCTATAAGGCATCTTTACTCTCTGGCTGGGTACATAGGAAAAGCTCTTTCCTTTATCGCTATCACCCCCTTGTGTCTGCATGGTGTAATAGCACAGTAGAAACAGAACACATGGGAAGTTATCAAAAATCATTTCTAATTGCCATTTTTATTTACTCTTTCACTTCTTTTTCTAAGAGCTGTGAAGAAAAAGAAAAAAAAAACCTGGGGCTTGTTTCAGGCCCCAAGTCTATAAGTTTTTTCACCTGGGGAATGTGAAAATGCATTTTTCTCAATGAAATGTCCCACATGATCCATAATTTCAAAACTTTAAGGCAAGCTCTACAGAGCCACACTGGGTTGGTAGTTCAGGTACCGACTGCTAATTTCTAAGGTTAGAACTTTCATTTCCACCCCACATCTTGAAATCCTATATGCTTCATAACCCCCTTAGCACCTTCCTCACGTAAATGCCGGGTGCTGAGCATTCCTTCATCTGACCGTGACAAGGACCACTTGCCCTCCATGGAAAGGTGCATATTTTCTCACCATCTGACCTTTGTTTAGAGTAACACAGGTACACAGAGAAGAATTAGGTCTAGGTCCACAGCCAGCATTAACACAACAATCACTAAAAATAAAGTGACCTAGTGATCTGAGCACTTTGACACGGGTCAATCAGTGGCTTGACTTGCTGCCCACCACTCACCGCGGCAGTTTTTAGCAGTCACGGCGTCCCCGTGGAACCCCTCCTTGCACCTCTCACAGTGGGGGCCGTCTGTGTTCCCAATGCAGCGCAGGCACTCCCCGGTGACTGAGTCACAGTGGCCCGCTTCTAAGGGGTCCACGTTGCCGCTGCAGTTACAGGGAACACAGGACTCCCCTGGCACTGTGGGGTTGCCATAGTAACCATCTGCACATCTGCATAAAAGATTGAAAGCAGGATCCAAATAAATGCAATTACTCTACACATTGCCCCACCATCCAGCGATTCTGTGAATGGTTAATAAATCAGACTGACTCTTTTTAGGTAAGAGTGACTGTGAAAGCAATGCAGTTCCCAGGTCCAAACATTCACAGATTCCCTTGTCTCATTTTGAAGATCAAGGCGTGTGTCCAAAATGAGCCATAAATCCCAGTGGATGTGCACCAGGTCCCAGGCCACTTGGGGCCCACATTCCCACTCAGTGTTGTCAGCAGGTCCTGGCAACTTTGGCCAGACCTTGGCATTAAGGCTTGCATGTGGGAAAAGGCAACACTGGCTTTCAGGCTGCAAATGGCAATTACTGAATCCAAAGAGTGCTCACCTCTGGAATTATCCAGAATACCGGGATATTTAAGTGTCTGAGCAGTAAATACTGACTCCTCACTGTTTCCTATTGTTATTGATGAGAACTCAGGTTAGAATTCCTATTTAATTAAAAAAATTCAGCTCGGGAAACAAGCTGAGCGCCACAGAGTACCTCTCGCACCAAATGCCTGCATATCCCAGAGCACACTGGTCACACACCATTTCGTCTCCATCATCCAGGTGGCAGGTGGGGCTGAAACTGTCAAAACAATAGAAATGGACATGTTTTCCCAACGGATGGTGCAGAATTTCTAAAACTTTAAAAAGCTTAATTTTGACCTCTCCTGTCCTTATTAACTTTTCGCGGGTCCTCACTACAGAACCCAAGGCCACCAGCCATACTATGCACGCCATGAACCTGGCCCCAGGGCACTGGACACTCACTGGCACTGACTGGTGGTCACCAGTGGGAGTGCACTGCCCACTCTGCCTACATTCCCTGGCTCACCCCAGTGCAGGGCTCAGCTGCTCTTTCCTCTGGGAGAACAGTTCTTACTCCTGGCACAGAGTGGCTCTTCACACAAGAGCCAAGAGCCTCCTGCACTTCAGGAGTCAAAACTTCCCACAGGACCTCCACTGCCAACCAAGTTTCCTTCATATTCTTGGGTCTTGGAGAAGCCTTTGGATAGAGATACAAGGGCCCTAAGAGTCTCTCATGATTTCATCCAAGTTGTACACACTGGAATTGTACAGAAAAATTCCCACGGGGTGGGGGGAGTTTCTTTCGATGCAAGTGGAGGAAGAGATCTAAAGGTTAAGCCAGTGAGAGAAGGCGGACACACATGCCCCAGCATGATGACGCACAGGCTTTGACATGACAGTCTCCCCTCACCTCACTTATGCCATGTGCTGCCTGCGCTCTGCAATTACACGAGGTCTGCTCTTTGATGCTGTCTCACTGCACTCAGCTTCTTCTGCCTCCCCTGCCCCTCTCTGCTGCTTTCAGACTCCTTCTCCCCTTTCAAATCTCAGATCAATAGCCTTCTCACAGTGGTCATAGCTCCACTGCACTGAGGACCATTCTGTGAGTTCAGCGGGGCCACCAGCCATGGATGACCTGGTGATAGAGCAGTTACCATGGTACCCAGTGGAGGGCAGGCACTCAATAAATACTGGCTGAATCAATAATCAGACTCTGTCTATTCTCACTGGACATCACATTTATATATTTGGGTCATTAGATCAAAAATTCCTAAACAATGGAAAAATGTTTTATTCTTCTCTGTATCCCCTATATTGCCTAGCCCACTGGTGGGCACACAACAGATACTTGTGAAAGATATGAAGACCAACAGAAGGAAGATTTATGCAACTGACCTTACCATCACACAACCTTTTTGCACAATTTAATATACCAACCATTTTTTAGAAGAGAATCTTCCACCTGCATCTTTAATCCTATTACCACTGGGCAAAATCCACATTCTCGTTATACACTGTTGTGATCTGAAAGCCTCAGACCACATCTGGATAGGAATCCTGGCCATGCGAGGCAAGAGCTGCAAGTGGAGGTGCTAAGCTTACTTGTTGGAGGCTGTGGAGAGGGGGCAGGCACAGGGCTGGCAGTCCCCAGGGGTCCCTCTGGAGGGCAGGCCATAGAAGCCAGGTGCACACTGCTCACAGTGGTCCCCGGTGGTGTTGTGCTCACATGCCTATAACACACACATAGAAAGAAGACTCAACTCATTAAAGGATTCTCAGATTCACCGGCAAATAACTTGAAGTCCAAATGAAAGGAAAACATTAAAACATAAACTGTGTTATACAAGTCCAGATTAACTAATAAAATTTTTTAATGTGTGTGTAAGTGGAAAGTACAAGAGCTTTCACTTCTAGCCATATTACAAAAACTGGTATGTGACATGCCCTTTTGTAGGAAACTAGAAATAGCTTACATTAAGAGAGGCCAAAAAGCACAACAATAAAATACAACTCCTGATCCTAGATGGGGGCCTGGAAAAAAAAAGTGATACAGAGAACACAATTGAGTCAACTGACAAAACCGAAAATTAGATTAGAAAAAATAAAGTAAATGTAAATGTTAGACTTAACTAAAGCTAAGAACTCCACTATGTTCACATAAGAAAGTACCCTATTGGGCCTCTCCTGGTGGTGCAGCAGTTGAGCGCTGGGCTGCGAAGCTGCCCACAGCCTCTGCAGCACCGGTTCAATCCCTGGCCACTGGCAAGGGTCCCACATGGCGCGCAGACCTCTCCTGCCGCCCGCTGGTCCCCTCAGCAGTGTATTTCGTCAGTCTGCCTATTCTGTTCCCTGCTCTGGCTCTGGTGAATTCTCTCATCCTCCCGTGCTTCAGAACATACACATGGAAGTATTAGGGATAAATGGGCATAGAGTATCAGGTAGACCAGGAAAAATATTACAATTACAGAGATGAATAATGAGGATACTAAAGCAAATGGGAGGGAAATTAGCTAAATATGAATCTGAATAGATGGTGTGCATACTAAATTCCATTCTTACTCTTATACTTCTCCATAAATATAAAATGATTTTTAAGTAAAGGCTTTTCAGAAATGGGGGTAAATAGCTACTAGAAATGAGAAGCAAAAATAAATAATCAATCATTACCAGGAGAAAAATCTATGAAGCAAGCAGAGAAAAGGACGCAACACAGAGAGAAGTATGTAGGTAAGAATTAGTACTGATTTCTCATTTAGAACAAGGTAAGTCATAAACAAACTGAACAATCTTGAAGTACTGAAAAAATCGGCAGAAGTGTGTTTCAAAATCGAAGGGGAAAGAACCCCTTTTCCAGAGAAACAAAAGGTGAGAAAATCCGTTGGCCTTCAGACTTGTTCTAGAGAAATGCTGAAGATAGGGCTTCAGAGGCAGCAGGATGCTATGTGAAGACATTCTGGAGTCACTCCAGGACTGAAAGCACTGAAAATGGTAAATATGAATGAATAAATAGGTCAGACTTACTTTCTTCAGGTAAAACATCTCTTCAGAAGATAAAACTACCATAGTTAGTTAACAGGAGAAAGGAGTCTGCTCCCCAGCCAGCAGGAGGCAGTGCTGAGCACCTGGGCCACCACTCAAAGAAACATTACTACTATTCTGCAATTCTCTCCCAGGTCCCTCTTTTCCCATGACTCAGTCTCCCCAGGGCCCCCAGCACCCCGCCTCTTTGCTGATGCTGCCCAGAGCTTTCTCCTTTGGGGCATTTCTGCCAAGTCCTGTGGGGCATTTCTCTCATTGCCTCTCCTCTGGGTGTCTGCTTTGCCTCCCACTTCCCCTTTTACCTCTTCCTTTAGAGCCACTCATTTTCCATATTGTTATTGGACATTTTTTTAAGATTATATATGTATGCATAGAAGAGCCAGAGTACAGGCCAGAGGAGCAGGGGGTGAGAGGATTCACCAGAGACAGAGTGGGAGCAGAACAGGAAGATCCACTGAAATACACTGCTGAGGGGAGCAGCGGGAGAGTCAGGAGAGGTCTACTGCACCATGTGGGTAGCTCCCTGGCTGGCGATGGAACTCATGTTGCAGTGGCTGCAGATAGCTTCCACTTAACCCCTTGCACAACAAGGGAGGCCCCTGTTATTGGACATTTTTCATCCACCAATTAAAATAATCTTTACCGTTTCTAAAATACAGACTTTCCTGAATTCCCAGATTGATAAGTGTTTCCATATATTACATGTAATGTAGGACTATGAATACTTGTATCATATCCTATTATGCAGAGCTTCATCAGTTTCATTTAAAGTTGCCCAAGCCACACATCCCAAACTAGAGCATGTATTCAAGTCACTGGGTAAAATGCTAGTCCTGGTTCAGGAGCTCTGCAATGAGATCTGCAATCCCCCATTTCTAAATGAGCCACTGCTATCCTCAGATCCCGTTCAGCAGCAACTCTTCTCCCCATCCGAACATGCATATGATCTTGGCTTTATTAATGAACCTAAATCTATTCAAAATGCAACTGGCCTCTGTAAACTGCTACATGGTTGAGTTAAAAGTAGAATATGAAGTAACTAGGTTCCTTAAAATATATTTGATTATATTCATTTGCAAAATGTCTATGACATGATTTCTCTACTCAAAGAGCCAGGTCTGCTCTTTTTTCACTTTGGGGAAACTATTATGTACTTCTGTCGAAAAGTTACAGCTCAGCACTGTCTTAGGCGTGAGCCCCCAGCCCCCAGCACCAGTTCTGCTGGTGGTGAGGTATGTGAAGGATGGGGGTGCTCATCTCCTTGGTGAGGAAAATCACTGCTCTTGATTAATGAAGAAAAAATGTAAGCACCCGAGACACACTTGACTGCATTTGATGTTCCCTCTTTGCAGGGAAAAGAAAATGGTTTCTTGGGATAAAGAGGACTCAGAGAATAGCATAGGGACAAAGGTCAACTGTGAACTGTGGGTGTTGATGACGTGTCAGGTAGGGTCATCCATTGTGACCCTATGAAACCAAAATGACTGCTCTGGGGAGGGGTGTCGATCATGGGGCAGTTACGCAAGAGTGAGGCGGGGCATGCAGGAAATCTCTCACCTTCCTGTCTGTTTTATTGTAAACCCAGAACTGCTTGAAATAAATGAAAGTTTAAAAATGGGGGGTACACTAAGAACAACTGGAACCTTTTCTCTAGTAAGCTGCATGCAGCGTTAAGTCCTGAAAGCTAGAGAGCTACATGCCAGGCCCGACAGCTACCCAAGAAGACATAAAGATTTTGTTTGTTTAAATAGAATAGACAAAAGCAAAGTTAGGTTGAACAGATAAAATGACATCACCGAGATTTTATATTTCTTAAATTCCAATCTAAATGTTTATGTTTGTCCCCTCAAACATTAATTACTTAAGAAGGAAAAAACAAGGGCCTCCTTGGTGGCACAGGAATTAAAGACAGCTGTATCAAGCTATTGCCAGTCACTGCAGTACGAGTTCGATTCCCAGCTGGCCAGGGAGCAACCCACAAGGCGCAACAGACCTCTTCTGCCTTGCCTGCTGCTCCCCTCAGCAGTGTTTTTCAGTAGATCCACCTGTTCTTCTCCTCCACTCTGTCTCTGGTGAATCCTCTCACCCCATGCTCTTGTATGGTCTGGTCTACACCCCAGCTCTTGTATGCATAAATAAATAAATCTTAAAAAAAATTAAAACAAGAAAAGAAGAGAAAAACACTAGCTTTACAGCAGGAATCCCTGGCAGAAACCGCCCTACCCAGTGAGCAGGCTAACTTCCCTGGAAAGGCAGACGGTACCACAAAGCCCTGATGGGAGACATTGAGAGAGACACGGTCCTCCTGACAAAACACACTGCTGCAAACTGACCAGGAGACAGACAGAATGCCCAGCATGCTTCAAAAAGAATGAAAGACAAAGACAAAGGGATTGCCCCAGACTGAAGGAGGAAATGCACTGAAGGCAATATGGGGTCTTGGGTTTGATGCTGGAAAAGGACAAGAGACAGAACTGGGATAATGGATGAAATGGGAATGAAGTGTGTGGTGTCATGGATCAAACTGTGCCAGAGTTAATTTCTTAGTTACGGTGACTGTACTATGACACTGCGCAAGAAGTGACCATGAGGGGAAGCAGTGTGGGGTACAGCGAACACTCTGCATTTGTGACCTTTTTCTTTCTTTTTTTTAAGATTTTTAAAAAAATTATATATGCATACAAGAGCTGGGGTACAGGCCAGAGGTGTGGGGGGTGAGAGGATTCACCAGAGACAGAGTGGGGAACAGAACAGGAAGATGGACTGAAATATACTGCTGAGGGGAGCAGCGAGCGAGTCAGGAGAGGTCTGCTGTGCCATGTGGGTAGCTCCCTGGCCAAGGATCGAACTCATGCTGCAGAGGCTAAGGAAAGCTTCATAGGTTGCGTCTTAACCCCTTGCGCCACCAAGAAGGCCCATTTGTGACCCTTTTCTAAAATCCAAAAAAATTACTACTTATTGTTATTAGAGCTTTAAGGCTAGTTCCTATTTAGCATTTCACTTTAATATAAGTACATATTTTTGTGGCTATATGTTAACAGAAGCCTCTCATGGCCATGGAGGGTGGTACAAACACAACCTGTGAACACCCTCAAAGGCTGGCAAAGTCATCTGAAAGGCCAGCCCTGCAAAACCGAATGACAGAGAGATGTCTGAAAAATCAGCCACATGATCCAGCCGTGGATGCTGGGTGCCTGAGGAAATTTATCCTAGAGGGGATGGAGTCAGCCTACAAACCATGATTTCAGACTCTTCTCTTACAGGACAAAGAAATAAAGATCGAAATAAAAGCCTTACTTACAGAAGAAAGAAAAATGAGGCTCCAAAGAGAATAAGCAATCACGGCATCATGCTGTGATCTACTCTATGGGCCCGATAATTAATTTCCCCAGGACTGTGACTCAATCATTCTCTTGTGGAAAGAGCATGGACATTTCTCTGCATGGTGAATAGGGTCCAGCTAATTAACATATGCATTCACTCCCTCTATGAGCCTGAATCCATTAGAACCCAGGAGTGTGGCTTGGCTTCAAGGCATGAGCCTAAAAGAATTCCTGATTGAAGTTAAAAAACAAGTCCTGCCCTTTATCTGCCCCTAAATTCATTCTCAAGATTAACTACACACTTGTTAAGCCCTGTTTCAACTCATATTGCATGAAAGACCTATTTGTTTGAAGGGTGTATCCAAGCTCACAGCTATTAAGTCTTATATATGATACAAATGTTTGTTGGAAATTTTATTCTTTTTCTTATGATATACTTATATATGTAATGTAATATTAAAAATGCTAGCACCTGCATTTAAAAGATCCTATTCCTTTTATTTAATCAGTTATTTAATCAACATTTTCTACCTTTGTATTGCTTTGTAATCTTTGGGAAGTAATTTCTTTCTAATGTTCCAATACGAAGTCTGCAATGAAATTATATCCATCTTGTTTGGGTAAAGGGTAGATCTGGAATTTTTGTAGTAACTTTATTGATGAATAATACTTATTTGAAACTTATATAACATTATATTACTTATTTGAAACTTATGTAACATTATAATAATACTTATTTGAAACTTATAATAACATTCAATTTTGAAAAAGAAAACTTTGTCTTTTTTCACTATGACCAAAATAATTAATTTTCAAGTAAAGAAGAAACATTTTATGTGATGGATTTAAATTTTATGTGAAATTTTATGTGATGGATTTAAATCTGAAAATTTCCTTTGCAGTCTACAGGTTAGGAATAGTCTTCTGTGGAGGAATCTTATTTATTTATTTATTTATTTATTTATTTATTTATTTATTTATTTATACAAGAACTGGGATATAGACCAGATGTGCAGGAGGGTGAGAGGATTCACCAGCGACAGAGCAGGAAACAGAACAGGCAGACTGATGAAATACACTGCTGAGGGGAGAAGCGGGCAAGATGAGACAGGAGAGGTCTGCTGCGCCATGTGAGACTCTCGCCGGCCGGCAGGGATCGAACAGGCGCGACAGAGGCCATGGACAGCTGTACAGTGCTGCACTCAACCGTCTGCGCCACCAGGGGAAGCCCTGGGGGAATCATTTTTTAAAAATGACTTCTGCACAGCAGTTGGCTTCAGGGTGGACAGAAGTGGCACTTAAGTTATTGACAAGAGACTCACAAAACAAACGCCATGGATATCGCACTCAGTTGCGTGGCCATGACATTCACAGGGCTGACAGATTCCTCCGAAGAGTATTCCATCCACACGGTAATAGCCTGGAACACAGGACTGCAAAAGAAAGATAGGTGACTGGGCTGGTGAAGACAACTTTGTGCACTAGGCAAAATGTCATCTTTCCAATACATAGATACACAAACTACTCACTTTTCTGCCAGTGAAGAAATATTTTTCTTTTCAAACATCTTTACTGTGATATCTCCAACATGCCATAAGAGGCACCCACTTGAAACACATAATTCAATGATTTTTTAGTAAACTCACTGTGCCATGCAACCATCACCATAACCCAGTTCCTTGCTTCTTTTTAAAGATAGGAACATGCAGATGGAAACCTAACAGCTTTGCAGTGAGTCAGCACATGTTAGCGAAAAGTCTACTGCAAGGTTCTTAAACAGGAAATCATGTCATGCTCAGCCATTTCACCAGTGTTTCAATCAAGAGGATTGCTTTTTTTCCAAGTTACTTTTTTTTTATTTCAAATTCATTACATGTCATCATCAAAAGTGTTCAAGTGCATGTCTATGTCACAGTATAACACTCTGGGTGTCCTTTCTATGGACTAAGGACTGGGCAGCACCGTGGGCACTCAAGTATGCTTCTCCCTGCCTGTGAAGATCAAGGGTCACACAGACACAGCAATAAAGCCGTGGGGGCTCTTATTTCCATTCTATAGACATGGAACCTGCAACTCAGAGCAGTTAGATAACATGCCACTGTGTCAGCGGGACGATTCAAAGTCAGGTGAGCACATGTCTAAGACTGGTGTCCACAGAGAAGCTGCCCAGGGTTACAGCAGATGTAAAATGCCTTCAGAATACAGACTGGGAAATGATTAATTTGGAGGTCAGCACACTCCCACGGGGGCATGGGAGGAGAGGGTGTGGATTTGGTTCTTATTGTTAAAGAACTCTTAAAGTGCATTTTCATTATGCAAGTAATAAATAAATGCCTTCATTCATACTGACCATGGGAAAGTCCCCTAATATCGTCACACAGCCATGCTCCCCTGGGGGACAGTGGCTTGTCTATAGACGGGCACTCAGCCCATCTCTATGGGTGTCTGTGTAGTAGCTGCAACATTACCAAGAATTTCACCCTGGATCAGGAGCTAGTTGCCTGATTTCTTTAATTCAGCTTCTGGTTAAAGATTTGATTAAAGAATGAATTCTGCTTGGCCCAAATGCTTTAAAATATGCATTAAGTTTCTTGGGCTTGTCTGAGCTGTCATTTTGTGCAAGTCATCAGTGCCTTTTCCTCCAATGTTAAGTACTCATTGCTGCCCCCTCCTGGTCTCCAGCAAAGACATCTACTTCCAAGAATTCTCTGTGCTCTATCAGCCAGCTCTCTCATCCCTACATCCCATGGAGGAGCCTTAGCATTATTATTCATTAAAACAAACCACATGTAGGGATTAGGACCTCCGAACATTTGCTGATTTAAAAATAAATGCGGTTAAAAAAAACTTCATTGGTCTCCCTTCCTCTGAAAAACACTGCAAATATTTAAAATAGAAATATTTAGTCAAATATCTACACCACGGAACATTAGGCCACCTTTATTAATGGAAAATTTTAAAATGGTAAAGACTCACAAAAACAAACTGTAGGTTAAATATCCTCACTTTGTAAAAATGATTGCCAAGAAATCACAGCCAATGACTAATGTCACAGCCAATGAACATGGGAGAGATAGGATCACATAGGAGGTAACAGAACAGATGCAATTCACATCTGATACGACCACTTCCTAGCTGTGTGACTATGTCCAGTGTACCTAACCTCTCTGTGCCCCACTTTTCTAATCTGTAGAACAGCCATATATGAAGTACCCACCCAACACAGTTGCTGTCAAGATTAAATGAGGTCACATACAAAAGAGCCTAGAATTGTGCCAAAACTACAGAAAATTCTTTTTGTCAATTGTTTTGTTTTTGACAGAAAATTCTTAGGAGAGAGTTATTATCAAAACTTATGTTCAAATAGTTTTAAAATATATTTGAAAAAATGTTAGTAACAAATTACTTTTATTGATAATTGCACATGCATTTTTATACACTTCTATGTATGTTGGAGCCCACCAGCGTAAGAGTCATAAGTGCCAAAAAGTGCCAAAAGGTTCTGATTAGACTAAAGTTTGGGTGGAAATGCTGGTGATTTGCAAATGTTTAAATAAAATCAAGATCAATTGGAAAAGCAAAACATAGCCCCCCAAAATCTGAAGTTTGGGGACACTGGGTTCCTAAATTTAAAATTAAAAGGTCGCATAACTACCTTTAATGTGTTTTTCTCATCTTAAGAAAGAGAAAAAGCAGAAGACTGGTATAGAAGGGAAGTGTTACCTCGCAGGAGACCCCTGTGTAGCCCTGGGGACACTCGCAGAGCTCCACATTTGTGGCCAGGGCCAGGCCTATGACGTTAGGGCTAGCTGTGTCCAGAGTAACTGAGTCCAACCTACAAATAGACAGAGATATTATGAGACTCACGTGCTCAAAAAGGACATCTAGGACCTCAGGGAGACAGCTTCTTAAAAAGACTTAATTCAAATAAAATGGTGATTTGACATTTGTTAGTAACTGAATATTTTCACAATCATATCTCTAGGAGTTGTCACTGTTCCCTAGAAATAATTTCAACATTGAGGCAACGACTTACTGCCTACTATAGGAAGGGTCTGATGTTGCCGATTAGGAATTGAAACACTTAAGAACAATCCATTCAATCATCTTATCTCTAACAGAGAGAGACTGTCTTAAAGGTGTACTTCTGTGCTTGCCTTAGCTGTATCCAGTGTTTGTACTTAGCTTGTTATTGCAAGATAATAACTGTCAAGTAATCAAATGTCTATGGCTGGACATAAGAGCTTAAACAGACTGTGCAGAAATCTAAGATTGTTAGTATCAGGAGAGTGAAAGTTAGATACATATGGTCCAAACAGTGTAAGCTTATCAGGCATACCTCAAAAAACCACCTTGAACATTTCTGACCCTGACATCTAGTCTGTGTCCTACTAGATATGTTTCTCATGGATGACAATTCTTACATTTTCAATAAAGTTGTAGCAATAAAAATAACTTTTAAGGCAGCCAGTTCTACTATGCAATAATCTATGTAATTCAAAACTGTGCAGTAGGGGCGGAGCAACATGGCGGCGAGGAGACGCTGCGAGTAAGATCTCCCATTAAAAAAAAGTTAATAGGGAGGAAAAGCGGCAGGTCCCAGTGAGAACTGTGACACGGAAGATAAACGGACGACACCAGCAAACTGCCCGAAGAAGAAAGTGGCCATAAAAGAGGACCAGAAGGCAGGGAAGCGCAGAACCCTGCTCCCCTCCCCCGCCCACAGAGGCGGCACTCTCTGACCCGCAGAGAGGAGGAAAACGACAAACTAAAACGGCCAACAAGAACAAAGGACGCAGCAAGCGGGACTGTGAGTGGAAAGGAACTATTGCAGCCACCACACCCTGTGAACGGGAGCTGTGGAGAACCACCGCAGGATCCTCCGCGGAGGTGAGCTCCGGGCGCCATTGCAGAGAGCCCCGCCCAGGAGGAGCCCAGCCCCAGCACACAGCCCCGGCCGCCCGGTAAGCCTGCGCGGAAGCGGCGCGCCGGAAAAACAGACGCGGAGCGGGATTGCGCGGGGAAAGCGGCGCGGATTGCGCGGATCGGATCGCAGCTGCCCAGGTCCCCGCGCCTGCGACCTAGGCTTGCCGGGAGACGACCTAGGCTTGCGGGGAGACGCGCGGAGGCCCTCCCGGAGTGAGCAGGAACCAGGCGCCCAGGCAGGGGAGCGGGATTCAAAAGGCGCCATTCCCGCGCCACTGATCTGGGCTACAGCCCGCGTCCTGAACTGAGGGCTTTGGAACTGAGACCCGGGGCACGAAATTAGGGGCGTGGGTTCCGCACGACGGTGGGGCACAAGGCAGACACAGCACCCCAAAGCCGTTGAGGTGTACCCTACCATCCCCGCTCTGCTCCCTGTCCCACGGGGTGGACAATCAGCTCCCCAAGGGCTCTAGGAGAGATCTCTGGCGCCACCTAGCGACTGGAAGCCAGCACAGGCTCCTGAAGGAGATAGTGGCCAGCTGGGGAGTTAGCCCACGCCTGGCCCCTTCCGACCAGTAGTCTGAGCCCACAGGGGGAGCGAGCGCCCACAGCCGGGGCAGACCAGGCACGCAGAAGAGTGTGCCTGACACCGTACGCGCAGGGAGTGTGTCCCACATCACCATTTTAGAACAGGGACATTTCTTCAGTAAAGACTACCTGCAGAAGGCTTCCTCAGGAGCCAGAGGTGAGCGGGGGAAGTTCGCCCACGCCAGACCCCCTCTGGCCTGCAGTCCAAGCCCAGTGGGGGAGCAGGAACCCACCGCCGGGGCAGACCAGGCGCACAGGGGAGTGTGTCCCCACATCGACATTTTAGGACAGGGACCTTTCTCCAATAAAGACTGCTTGAAACTGACAGATGACTCCTGGAGGAACCAGAGGGGAGCAGAGAAGCTCACCCAAGATGCCGGCCAGTCCCAACTACACAGTGTCCCAACGCATACGGCAAATTAGAAAACAGACAGTAGGGAGGAGAAGAACCACACGCAACCTAGCAACTCTCCAGAAAAAAAGCACACCACAAAAAGAAAACCAGCCCTCAGATTGCAACGACAGTAACTTGGAAGAACTTCTGAGCCTTCCAGAAAGAGAATTTAAAATTGCCGTGATTAAAAAACTGACAGAAGTCATAAAGGAAAACAATGATAAGGGAAAAATAATCAACGATCAGAAGAATGAAATTGAGTCCCTAAAGAGGGAAGTAAAAGAAATGCAGGAGATCAAAGAATTAGTGGAAGAACTAAAGAATTCTGGGAAAAGCAATGAAAGCAGAATTGATGAAATGGAAGAACGAATAAGTGCTCTTGAAGACACAGAAATAAAAAGAACCAAAACAGAAAAGGAAAGAGAAGTACGAAGTAAAAAGAATGAAGAAAGACTTCGGGAACTATCTGACTCCATGAGGAAAGGAAATATAAGAGTTATAGGAATACCAGAAGGAGAGGAGAGAGAAGTAGGAACAGAGAAAATATTCAAAGAGATAATTGAAGAGAACTTCCCAAATGAGAAGAAGGAGCTGAAAATTGATATACAAGAAGCAAGAAGAACACCAAACTTCCACGACGAAAGAAAAAATACAGCAAGACACATAATAGTAAAGCTCCCAAGAATCCAGGACAAGGAAAAAATAATGAAGCTGGCAAGAGGGAAGAAACAGATAACATTCAAAGGAAAGCCAATCAGGCTGACATCAGACTTCTCCGAAGAAACACTACGGGCAAGGAGAGAGTGGAGGGACATAGTCAACAGACTCCAAGAAAACAGATGCCAACCAAGAATACTCTATCCCGCAAAGCTCTCCTTCCTCTTTGAAGAAAGAATATGGACCTTCCCAGACAAACAGAAACTCCGGAATTTCATTGCAACTAAACCCCCACTCCAAAAAATACTACAAGGAGTCCTAAAGCCAGAACCTCAGAGGACGAATAACAATGAAAGAAGGCCAAAAAAAAAAAAAAAGTTATTAAAAGAATAAATAAATAAAATCAAAGGAAAGACAAACACAATGGCAAATACAGATGTTAACATATCAATATTAACTCTAAATGTAAATGGACTAAACTCTTCAATAAAAAGACACAGAGTTGCAGCCTGGATTAAGAAACAAAACCCAACCTTTTGCTGTCTACAGGAAACACATTTAGCTACAAAAGATAAAAATAGGCTCAAAGTTAAAGGATGGAAAACAATCCTACAAGCAAATGGGCCAAAAAAGAAAGCAGGAACAGCTATACTTATATCAGATAAAACAGATTTCAAACTCAAAAAGATAAAAAGAGACCCCAATGGTCACTACATTATGATCAAGGGGACAATATTTCAAGAAGAAATAACACTCATTAACATATATGCACCAAACGAAGGAGCACCAAAATATATCAGACAACTGTTGTCCTCTCTGAAAACAGACATCAGAGAAAACACATACGTAGTGGGAGACTTCAACACACCACTATCAACAATGGATAGATCAACAAGACAAAAAATAAGTAAAGAAACCAAAGCTCTAAATAAGGACCTAGAGCAATTGGGCTTAACAGACATCTATAGAACACTAAACCCCAAAAAAACGGAGTACACATTTTTCTCAAGCGCACACGGATCATTCTCCAGGATCGATCACATACTGGGGCACAAGACAAACATCAACAGATACACCAAGATTAAAATCATATCAACCATCTTTTCTGACCATGAAGGCATCAAACTAGAAATAAACCATAAAAAGAAGGCAAGGAACTTTCTACCTCATGGAGATTAAAAACCACACTACTGGAAGACCACTGGACTAATGAGGAGATCAAAGAGGAAATTAAAAAATTTTTTGAATTGAACGACAAGGAGGACACCAATATCCTAAATGTATGGGATGCAGCAAAAGCAGTAATAAGAGGAAAATATATAGCAATAGAAGCTCACATCAAGAAACAAGAAAGAACTCAAAGAAACAACCTAATTTCGAAGCTCAAAGATCTAGAAAAAGAACAACAAAAAAACCCCAAAACCAGTAGAAGAAAAGAAATAATAAAAACCAAAGCAGAAATAAATGAAATTGAAACTAAAAAAACAATCCAAAAGATCAATGAAACCAAGAGCTGGTTCTTTGAAAAAATAAATAAAATAGACAAACCCCTAGCCAGGCTCACAAAGGAAAAAAGGGAGAAAGCACAAATAAACAGGATCATCAATGAAAGAGGAGAAATCACAACGGACACAGCAGAAATCAAAAGAATAATCAGTAACTACTATGAACAGTTATATGGAAACAAGTTTAACAATCTAGAGGAGATGGACAAATTCCTACAACTCTACAATCACCCAAAGCTAGATAAAGAAGAAATAGAACACCTAAACAGACCAATTACAATTAGCGAAATTGAAATGGTAATTAAAAACCTCCCCAAAAACAAAAGCCCAGGACCTGATGGATTTACAAATGAATTCTACCAAACATTCAGAGATGAATTAGTGCCTATCCTTCACAAACTCTTCCAAAAAATTGAGAAGGAAGGGACAATACCAAACACGTTCTATGAAGCCAACATTACACTAATACCAAAACCGAACAAGGACAACACAAAAAAGGAAAACTACAGGCCAATCTCCCTAATGAACACTGATGCAAAAATCCTCAATAAAATTTTAGCCATCAGAATCCAACAATGTATCCATAAGATAATTCACCACGACCAAGTAGGATTCATTCCAGGGGCACAAGGATGGTTTAACATCCGAAAATCAATCAACGTTATCCAACACATCAACAAAAAGAAATATAAAAACCATATGATAATATCAATAGATGCTGAGAAAGCTTTCGACAAAGTGCAACACCCATTCATGATAAAAGCC